TTGAATTGGGCCCAGGTGCCGTAGCCGATCATTTGTCCAGAGGTGTCTTTCCTCTTGGGGTCTAGGGCTGCTTCCATGAAGTCTTCTGCCCAGGCTGCCGCGTTTCCTTTCGTCATGTAGGATAACACAAGAATGATTTTTTTCTTGTCATCAACGTAGACTTTGTCGTTAATGTCGAGGTATGCATGACATTTCATCATGAATCTCTTCGATTCTTCTCTGTCTCCATCAAATTCGGGAGGGGAGCCGATCTTTAGTTCTATTTCTTTGTTCTGGGTCGTCATGGTGTTCAAAGGAGGAATGGTTGGTAGCGCTCCTAAGTTCAAGGCTCCGATCAAGGGAGTTAACGAAGTCGTGGTGTCGGTTTCGTTGCAGATGGCAACGGTTCAGGTAATAAGACTTTAATCTTTTGTTACGACTGGGATGAGTCGAGCTATCTCTGTCTGAGTAGACAATCGGCGTAATGCCTGATAGACGTAAGTCTGCTCTCGGTTGAGAGATCAAGGTTTCTGGCTAAGGCGAGTGTCGCTGACTCCCTTAGAATAGTGGTTCTTAGACAGTAAGGTTGGAGACCTTTACTGAAGGACAGTGTTCCAGGTAAAACCCAGTAGATTAAAGTAAAGAATACAACAGTAGGTAGGTAGGTTTATATACCAGTGTTCAAGCGGAGCTTGTAAATGCGTTATCAAGATAGAAGCAAGAAAGAGGCGGACAGCCCGCTTGGTGAGATAAGAGATAGGCATGATAAGAGATAAGCGTGGTACGGACGGCCCGTTTGTAAGCGAGAAAGGGGAATAAGTATAGGGGTCTGAATGTTACTGTAACACAAAGTCAGCATAGATTTTGCTACATAAATATTAGGATGGTGTGAAAACGGGAGCAAAATGACGCACTCGTTCCACCAATTTAACAGATCCTCTCGCTCGTGAGAATCCATGATACTGACAACCTCCAGAAGTGTGCGATAGAATGTGCGATATGGCCAGTGACCAGAAGTCCCTCCAGCGCTGAACGTCGGTTGATCGGAAAGGACGAAACGGATCTAAACAGGATTGATAAATTCATATCAGCGTACAGAGTCAAAAGTTGTCCAAGTTGCGACTCACCAGTGTGGCAATATAAGCTATGGAAGGAACAGAAACCTTATTAATCGAGTGAGTGGCTGCATTGCCTTTGCGTGTGCCTGATCGTACTGAATTCGTCGCGGTACTTGGGCCGCGAAAGACGTGAAGATATCCCTATATGAAACACGCTCAGCTTTGAATTGAAACAAACGTGAGCGTCACCAGCCTTAACAAGAATCATATTCCATAGGAAGCCATGGAAAAGATCCTCAGTATCGACTTGCTCGTCTGAGTAAAGGAATAGCGGGAAATCGTCGGGCCTCGCTTTCGTAATGCCGTCGCGCAAATTCGATCGAACGCTGCCGGTAGTTTCAGTATGCTAGAAGTGTGACAGTAAGCTACATGCCTTGAATCATTCCAGTCCAAACTTGCAGGGCACAAAAGCTTTCCGCAGTCAGGATGCTTGAAACCGAGCATGGATCGATGGTCTGGATTGTAAGGTGGTGCAAAGGTGCGCCACCGGCCAATCTTGTCCTTCATGGAATTTATGTCCTCACTGCGGGAGCCACGCCGACCAACTTCCAACTATGTCAACTGGTCAGCAAGATGTTGATCGCTCAAGAATTCACGTACCTTAGCGCTGATGATCGCAGAGCCTTGAGCTCCAAGACGCTTAATTTCATCGGGAATACCGGGAGCTATTTTGACTAGCTCCCGGTAAATCTCATGGTGGATGTTTTGGCTGGAAAAAAAAAACGTAAATGATGGAAAGCAACCATGCAAAACGTAAGGAAATGAAAGAAAAAAAAAGGTCAACGTACATAGTGGTGTAAGCCTGGGGATCGTCATCGGCGTCTCGGCCGACACCATCGTCTAGGACACTGGCGAATGGTCGCCACATCTCACCCATGCGGCCAAAGATTCGGCCTTTTGACTTGATAGGATCTGTGTCTTTTTTAATGCTGTAGACAATCAGTAGTACGTCACAACCAGTATTGCTCACGAAAGGATACACGCACGATGATTTCATGAGATGGTTATGGTCATCTTCCGAGTCATCCGTCGGAGACTCGGACTCCTCATGACGGCGCTTGCGCGAATGAACTCGCTCTGGAGCGGGTGGCGGACTTGGAGATAATGATGGGGACAACGAGCTTTGGGCCCTAGTAGATTGACTTCGACCTCTACCTTTGGACTTCTGGGAAGCATGATGCGGCTGACGACTGCCATGACCACGAGACAAATGCCCCCGGGTCATGGGAGATTATGACTAAATGGAAGCTCTGTGAAATACCGTAAGTCTCGTAATGTTGGCTAATAGTTACCAACGTAAGATGCAGACGCTTGTAGGCACTTGGGTATGTTTATATAACAACTAAGTTAAGGTTACATTGTAATTTTTTTTGTTTGTATCGGTTTACCATTCAGCGACCTAAATATAACTCCTTACTACTCAATTGAAAGTCCGCGGCATACATTCATTCTTACTTACTTACCACCATCATTGAATCCGATTCATGCCAGGTGGCAGTACTACTGATCGCGCCACTGGGACGCCCCCCCCCATGATTATACAGTCCCCCGAGCTTGTGTCCACATTGTGTACGCCTGGCTCGACTGTCACCAGAGATCCCAGGCCTGTTAGTCACACTTCAGCCCCTCTTGCCACTCTGGACGGGCTAAGGACCCCCGCCCCCCCACTCAATAAATTGTCCCAACTCAAGGCCACCCCAATTGCACTCGGGTCAGCTGTTATAAGCGAACATATTGCTACTCTAGGCGTCGGGTGCGTATATTTTGAAGTTCCAGAGATACTAATTTTGAATTGTTTGCTATCTATGCAGCGTAGATGATGTCCGCCCATGGATCGCGCGGGATATCCAGAACTTCAAGAAGTGCGATGTTGACTGTATGTTGCAGAACATCCTTAGTGACTGCAAACTTGGTACCTCTGACTCGGCATCCCTCGGTCAATGCGAGGAGTCTGCCCTACTTCAAACTTGCCTCGAGGCCGTCTTACCCCTCTGCAACGAGACCCGCGCCGCCAAGGATATCAAGGACCTCCTATCAGAATAGTGAGTTGCTCAAGTAACTGTGGCTACGAAACGAGCTTCACCACAATTCTAAAGTATTAATTCACCTGGAGAAGTTCCTTCATACGAGCCATTTGTTGGAGCTGCCAATTGTGCGCTCCTTCAACTGAGCGCTTTGAATGTGCCTGGACTAGTGGGTTCCAAGGATTCCGAAGACCACGATAACATACTGTTTCATCACAACGACAAGCCCATACGCCAAATGCACCAGGGCGTCGAGTCCTCCCGCAAGCCTGATGTGGTCATTGTCTCTTGGGACACCGCCCAGAAAGTGCAGCAAGATGGAGATTGCTATTGTAAGAAAGATATGTACACTAAGCTGGCGTGCAACAAGCCCCATGGGAACTTCCAATGGAAGAACGTTCTATCGACAGTAGAATTCAAATACACCAAACGTCGTCCAGGTCACGGTCCTCCTCCACCTTCGGCTTACAATGTCATTCCTGCGCCTCAGAATCTACATTACATGGAGTATCCAATCGCAAAACGACAGCCGCCGCCTGATAGTGACTCCGAGTCAGAAGACGAATCGCCTATCGAACACCCTCCAAGACATGATGCTGGTTCAGAGCGTAGGTCACTTCGTTGTATTTCGTTCTTCCTCACTGACATGTTCAATGCAGTGAGACATGCGTCTGAACGAAACAAAAGTCAAAGGGAAGAAGAGATCGTGTTGAATGAGCGTAAGTCCACCTTGTTTGTTGCATCTGACTTTCTCGCTGACATGCATAATGTAGCGAGACGTGCATCTGAGCGTACTGCAGCGAGACGTGCGTCTGAGCGCATTAAAAGTCAAGGCAAAGGCGAGTGGACGTTAAAAGAGCGTAAGTCACCTTGTATGTGCATTTTGGCTTCCTTGCTCACATGCACACTGCAGCGAGACGTGTGTCCGACCGAATTCGAAGTCAAGGGAAGGGGGAATTGAAACGAAGTTCTGATCATTTCATCCAGGCCGGGTCCAGCAACAAGCGTACCAAGAAGGACAATGAGAAGGACAATGATGATACTACCACGAAGGATGATGTCAAGTCCGAAGCGAAAGCGCTCGACGCGATTGTCCAGAATGGTTTGTATGTCGCTGAGATGTTTGCGGCTCATGTCGCACGGCCTTACGTCGTCTCCTACGTAGTGGTTGGTGAGTCTGGGCTTTACTTTTCAGACTTATTATCCAATTAATGACTCTTGCCAGACGACATGATCTACATGTGGCGTTTTGATCGGGAAGATACAATTCAATTTGCTGGCATCAACTTCCTTCAGGATCTTCCCCGCTTTCTCGTCTTGCTCCTCACTATGCAGCGAATGCAATATACGCAGTGGGGCTTTCACCCTCTATTCGAGCCTCAGCCTGGATTTTCTGGCCCTGTCTATATCGACGATCCGACACTTGGCCGGGTTGACCTCACATTAGATGTCTCCAATGCGTATTCATCTCATTTTGGGCTGCGTGGACGTGCAACCACCGTCTTACCAGTGAAGAGCCAGGCACTCTCGCAATTGCTTCGGGCACGTGAGCATCCCAATGAACCATCTGCCGTCGACCCTACTCCATCCGGCGCTGATCCTCCTCCTGATACACACCCGCCTGGTCCTCCTCATAACACAATGACCGAAATGGTCGCCAAACTCTTTTGGCCAGAAGAGGCACGCTTGAGCGAGCCTGAGATACTCGCGAAAGTGCAGGCGATCGCTGAACGTGACTCGTGGGTGAAGGGCCATGTCCCAGACATGGTCTGGTTCCATAGGTTTGATGAGACATCCACGGCCCGCATCAGAAAGGCATTAGGAATGGATCACAATACGCAGGGCAGCCGAGTCTTTTACATCATCGTATTCAGGAAGCTTCAGCCGATCACAGACCTAAGTGGGCCTGAGTTTCGCGATGCATGGTGGCAAATCATTAATTGTAGGTGTTCGTTGATTTTGTTCTAGCTATTGTCTATTAACTGTGACTCTAGGTCATCGTATACTCTGGGAAGGTGGTGTCTATCACCGTGATATCAGCCCCAGCAATCTCATGTACTATCGGCTCTTATGCGGTCGTGTGATAGGCGTCCTCAACGACTATGATTTATCATCCATTCAAGATGATTGTGCCAGAGGCAATGAGCGCACAGGAACGGTACCTTTCATGGCGATCGAGCTGCTCACAGTATCGGCCATCGACGGCGCAGTTGAGCACGTGTACCGGCATGATGCTGAATCATTCATCTGGGTTTTCGTCTGGGTCTGTCTTCGGTATAAGGATGGCAAACTCCGCCGTAAGCCCAGAGGCCGCCTCGACCAGTGGCTCAAAGCAGATGCGCCTACATGCTGCGCGCTCAAGAGCCACTTTTTGCTAATGGTACGTCATGAATCTAGGACACGACCGTCGTGATCACACCTGGACAACTGGGTACTTGCACAGGCTTTACTGACGCCTGTTGCTTCATATTATGCTCGTGTTGATGTCGTCGCACAAGAGAACGTTTTCGAAACGTGGCTAAAGAAGCCTATGGAATCAATAAATACCATTTTGACTACGTTGTAACACCATGTATCAGAGTTCATATACATTTTCGTCAAAGTCTTTCTCTGAACCATCTTCGCTCCACACGTCCGAGTCCGAGTCCGAGTCCGAGTCTGAGTCTTCTTTGGAGACATCACCGATTGTCCACTTGTCAGGTCTTGTTGCAGGAGGCATATAACGATCTTCGGGAACAACTTGGAGTGACTGAGTCTCGTTCGGAAACCCGGGAGGATGCATGTGTCCAATGCCGGTCCCCAGATAGCGCATCATCATGTCTCTGTCGACATATCTCATGACATAGTAATTGACCCAATCCCCTTCGTCTGAGTCGCGATGCTTCGATGGTCCAAGCAAATCCGTCGTTTTCCCTAGTGCAAAAGCAGGAATGAGATGGCACGCACGTAAGACATGACTAGGCTCAAGAAATCCGAATGCCTCGTCATCTGAGTCCGGGACATAGCCAATGCGATCAAGGCGAAGAGCGCCTGGCCCACTCGCCCAGTCAGGATCACGACCAAACCACCTCACGCGCAAAAACTCCATTCGAGTAGCTTTGCGTATGGATGGATGTTCGACCATGACATGATGGATGCCAAGCACCCGTGCATACCAGTATGGATGGGGAGACACGCCATCATCTGCGGTCTCATGAGAAGCAACCATGATTGCAGATCGGTCGAGTGAATTGTTTGAGTGTATGTGAATCGTGTCTTGATCACGTCGAACATCATATGTTGTGTAGTTGATACTGGCGGTGGCATGATTGTAAACACGGTTGTATTGGAACCCGATCTCGTCGATCTCATGCGGTGTGAATGTCGGTTCCTCGCCAACATAAACATTTCCTTTGAGACGCCCAAGAAGATGTGTCTTGAGTTGCGGCAAGAAATTCTAATTGTTTGTTAGTGTCGAGCCAATACCAGAAGTAAGTAATTACCTTGAATGCTGGATCCCCCCGATTATCATTGAGCCAGTCACCTAACCACACATATGTTCGTTGGTCTTGCGTGATACGGTGATGTTCCTCAGGCGCGGCCGGAGCAGCGAATGGTAATGATTCGGAGTCAGCCATTGAACCAGCGTCAGCTTGTATTGCGGCTAAGCGTTTCAGGTCTTCTGACATCCGGCTATGCGCATTCTCTCGAACATCCATTGCAATGATCTGCGGCACTGGGTTATTCTTGCTTGTCCGATCATTCCAAGCCTTGAGAACTCGATGCTGGAGCTCCCCCTGTGTGGTTTGTCAGTGACACTCTTAGAAAGACGGTGCCTGACTCACAATTTGTGAAGTAAATGAATCAGTGGTGCCAAACATTCGAATTTGAGCCACATAATCACCAAGAGCATGAAGTTTCGACGTCATAAGGTTAAACCCCCGGGTACGTTTGCCAGACATGGCAAGGTTAGCATCCTTCTTTCTAAGGTTGTCGCCACGAGCTTCTCGTCTTCCTTCAGCCCGCTTTCGTGCCATGTATTCTGAATCAGTTTCAACGGTATTAAATTGACGGCACGTTTCCTCAGCGAAGTGCCGGATCTTTTGCCCAAAAGCAGTCGTGACAGTGTCGAGGACCTCGAGTGATGTTTCTGTATGCATGCGCAACTTCGCCAACGAGTGCCAGTAGCAGGTCAGGAATAGAAGGTCCATGATTGACTCATTGTGCGGAGAGGGTATCAAACCTTCGAAACATGGGATTGAGCACTAATTTTGGTCATCAATCTTCACTATCCCGATGAAACAAGAGCATATACTAACCTGCAGGATGTCCTCAAAATTATGCGCAGCCAACTTTTTCAACTCGGAAACATTGTGAGGGAACCTTCTGATGGTCGACTGGCCAAATGGTTGTATGAGCCGAAACCTGTTGCAACTGTTGAGCATTCCATAATTCAAGTTCTGACGTCACTTACCGAGCGTTGAATTCAGCGACAATTGTAGGACCTTGCGTGTGTAGAATGCGGATCAGATGGGTGAGTAAGGCCTTCCAAACGCCTAGCTCGAATTCGTGCATTAAATCAACCACGAGCATCATAAAAAAGTCGAAGCCAAAATGGGACAAGCGAGATGAGAAGGCATTCTGTAGTAATTCGCGTTGATATCAATGCTTCAAATGAAAAAAAAATGATAAGGCTCATACCTCTGTCGGAACCTGCGACTCCGGTTTTAATATTTCCTCCACCGGTTTGCTGGTGACAACATAATGTTTGTCGTAGATGAACCCACGAGCCTGCTTGATATTGTCCCTCCGTTCGTCGTTATCGAGGCGAGTTTGGTGGGTTCGAATATAAGAATCTTCTCGAGTGCCAAGTCCAGGTATCATGTCCTTGGGTATCGTACAGCGTGGACATGGACAGCCCCCCATGTCACGAATTGTTGCGATCAAAACTCTATGAGAACAAATGACATCAGTATCAGAATCCTGTGAAAGGGATGTAAAGTCTTACTTCTCAGGGTAATCAGCAGAGTAAGTGAATATGCGAGGGTAGACACGTCGACAAACACCGTCTGCACAATCAAGAACAATGCCATGCTCGTACGCCTGCACAAACTCGTCATCGAGAAGAAGTCGCCAGGCTTCATGGAAAACCTCGCGACGCAAATGTGCTAACAGTGGGTCTAATGCGCCATGGTCAAATGACCGTAGAAAATCCTGCACAGTATCAGGAAGCTGCGAGGAAGAGTTGAGACGAGAATATATGCTACACGAGAGAAACGGCCCACCTTCGGTAAATACGCAGCTTGATGAGAAGCAGTTGAAGTTGGTTTGCAACGGGAATATTTGGATAGATTGGCCAAGTAGATATAGATGGGCCAAAGCCGTGCCTGCCCAAACTGTGCAACATGAGTCGCGTCAGACCACACCATGATCCCCGCAATGACGCGTGGTAAATCACAGTCGGGTTCCCCTGGAGAGTTTTGCAAATCACGATCTGCTTTTAAGAACGCATCACCCGTGTAAACTTCATCAAACACGCGAACCGGAGGTGTATTGGGATCAGGGGACTGGTGAAATTGCTCGTATGGGTGCCAGTGGTATTGTTGAGCGTGCGGAGTGTTGCTCTCAATAGCGGTACGCAAGATATGCACTAAGCTCCGGTGATGGAAATCGCCAATGCAAAACTTACGTGTCCCCACAGTACCCGCCTCTTCATCAACCTCGTCGTGAACACGCGCTGCTCGCTCAGTATTCCGGTCCTTCTTCTTGGACGCTTTCGTGACCTTCTGAGATGTCGGTATATTGACAGTGATTGGATCATTTCGCCAACCGTTGCCTTCCAAAGGAGAACTCAAATCCTGGGCGAGTTGCTTGTCGATTTTGTCAAAGTTGACGCCGCGAAGATCTTCGGGATCGAAACCTGGATGCAAGATGACATTGTCCAGTAATTCTTGTCTAGTAGATTTGGATTGACGAGTCGTGTTCCAATACCAACGGCCGAAATTGAATGCGTTCTCGTTGGGATATGGTGAGATGATGTCGGATATGGATTTATCAGTGATAGCGGGTAGAGTTTGTAAATTTGTGGCGGTGAGGTCGTTCAGATCACTATCGAGGTCAGGGATGCGAGTGGGGCGACCGCGATACAGACGTGTCAGGCCGAAGGCATTGGGTAATGTGCGCACGATTTCCGGAATTCGGATGAGAAAATGCCGGAGACAAAACGCAGGAGTCTGAGGGTCAACATTTTCGATGGGTTCGGGAGGAGCTACGACCTCGGGCTCAACACAGCCCGAACCGTCAGCCTCGAGTGGGCCAGGACCCTCAGGAAGTGGGTCGTCAAATCCAGCGGCTCTGACTCTAGCCGGTTTTCGTATCCGTTTGACTTGCGATGGAGGGATCAGGGGACTTTGAGCCACTGACTCGGAGGGGCTTTGTGGAGGGGGTGAGTGCGAGGCATAGTACATGTCGAAGTCACATATGTCTTCCTGAACACAGGTGCTGGTGTCCATATGATGTTCGAGTGAAGATGATGAGGCAGGAGGTGGTGGAGGTGTCAATCTTGGTAGGGCCTCAAGGGCAGAATGAGTTAAGGGGCTCTTCGACTGATAGGAAATAAATAAAATCAGTATGCCGAGACCGACACTCCAAGTGCACGGTACTCACAGAGCCTTCACCCAAATCTACCTCAGGAGCCGGATGAATTAAAGCCTGGGGGTCCCTCGACTGATAGGAAATAAATAAAATCAGTACGCCGAGCCCTACACTCCAAATAAACGGTACTCACAGAACCTTCGCCCAAATAGGCTGAGGCCTGGCTGCTATTGCCAATGGCAGTACGGCTTGTGAGTGTTTGAGTGGCGTTTGGCATTGGATGTGATGCCGCAGTGACATAGGCTAATTTCTCCGCCTTTGCACGCGCTTTTGCCGCCAGACGCTTTTTGTCAAGCTTTAGACTCTTCTCGTAGGCACGGCGGGCTCTGGTGCGCACTGCTTTGCACTGGTTTCGATGTCTTGTCAAACGAATAGCATCAACGTTGTGAGCTCCACATGCATCACAGTCATATTCAATTGGTAGGCGGCGCTGAGGAGGCATGATGCCAGAAGTCACTGTGGATATTGAGGGAGACCCTGGCAGTGACTCGGGCTCGGACAGATTCAAATTGAGACTCGGACTCGGCCCAGTGGTTTCCGTGACAGCAACTACATCAGGAAAATACCATTTGACTACAGGTGGCTATATAGTCGCTGTAGTACCTGTAGTCCCATTTGTCAAGTCCCTTCTACATGTGGCTATATAGCCACATGGCTCGCTATGAGAGTCACTGGTAGCTCGTCATAGCAAGCTACAGGAGGCTACAGGCTACTAACACTAGTAGGACCTGATAGTTACAAGGCCAAAAGAAATGCCACCAGTGCTCACATCAGATGATTTTCACACATTATAATGTACAATTGGTAGGAATTGAACCCGACACCTTGAACAATTATAAGTGCATCATTTTTACAACTAGGCTACAAGACTACTTGTATATTCTTACAATAATAGAAATATATACCAATGCAATATGACAATATTGCGAAAATTCCATCAAGTCAATTATCACACGGTTCAATGAGTCCAAAATGGTGGCACGTTAGAGCACCTTCCTTTCGATTGCAACAAGTCCTCGCTCGACACGCCAACTCCACCGCAAGGTGGCAAGTGATTTTTATTTTAACGAGTTCAAATATTGACGGCAAGATGTTTGGTGTGTCTGTCATAAGTAGTTTGTAGACAGGTTAATATCACACGAGCGCTGTAGCTGCCTGGAGTGACCTGTAGCAAATATTTCTCCAGCTGACTCCTGTAGTAGCGGTGACTTTGGCTATATAGTTGTATGTAGCTTGAAGGGTGCCTACATAGCACTACTGTGGCTACAGTAGCTTGAAGGGTGCCTATATAGTGCTACTGCGACTACAGTAGCTTGAAGGGTGCCTATATAGCGCTACAGTTGCTACAGTAGCTTGAAGGGTGCCTATATAGTGCTACTGTGCCTATATAGCTCTATGTAGCTGTCACCAGGGCTATGGCATTTTGAGTTTTTTACTGATGTAGTAGTAAGCAGAATGCGATTATAGTAATGATAGCGGCCGCGACTCGGACTCGGAGGCTGACTGTACTACTAGTCATGGTAGTTGAACGACTCGGAGCTGCCATACACTGGGAAGCGTGACTTCACAGCAGCGGGGCTTGCCAGTGGGCTCCAACTGTACTGTAGCCCGCCAGCGGGTGAGATGGAGTCCAATGACTCGGCGGACTGAGTCGGACTCGGACAGTAAAAAAAAGTGACGACTGAACTTGAAGTCGGGCTGAAGTCACTTGCCGTTGAAAGTTGACGGTTTTGAACCCAGTGCGGCCAGTGAGTTGAAATGAGTAGCAGAAGAGCAGTGACTGACTCGGACTCAGCCTGTGTTCGGACTCCGGCAGCCTGCTGCCAGCAGCTGGCTGGCAGTATTACTAAGCAGCAGCGGCTCAGAGCTAAGTCTGTATTGCAAGATGATTGTAAATGACACAAGCGGCTCACAATCGTCAGACAATATGGTTGCGTGATTCGAAAATGTTGCAAGGTCACTACGTGGTAGTGACATAAAGTTAAGACATGGTAACTACTGGTGATAGTGTTGCAACATGTACCTGATTATCTAAAGATAGCAACCGATGGAAATTGTCCGGGGCTTTTCCTGATGGTCACAGCGCTAACTGGCCAGGTTTAGATATGATCTTGACAAAAGATTAAGATATTTGACCAAGAGACGCGCCGTGCATCCGTACTAACTAGATCATCTGCTACCATGTCCAGCTCATTCGATCTCCATGTTCAGACAACTATCTCACCTCACAATGGACAGGCATACCATGTAGAAACATATCCTGTTTCTAATGATCTACTAGACCGCACTCTCGAAACTGCAGCACAGTCTCAGAAAGAGTGGATCAAGACTACACTGAACGAACGTATCGCAAAAGGTCGCAAATTCATTGTCCGTGTGCTCTTGATAAATTGGTACTTGCAGAGCTACATCATTACACGTTCTCTAGGAGAAATTTTCTGTTCTTGCAAACCGAGAAGTACCAGCAACATATGATCACGGTCCCCTTGGACATCATAACCTTGCTGAAGAGCTATGTAATCAGATGGGCAGGTGCATACCTTCACGCGTAAAACATCGCCAATGTACTGATTTGGGACGCACATAGGCCTGTTGATCAGTGTTGGGGGGAGTTTAGAGGATTTTTACAGCGCGCAACCTACATGGTCGACATTGCTGAATCGTGTCTCTCAGACACAACCTTTTCAGACAACCAACCTGGCTTCAATCGCTCAATCAAGCGCGTTCCCCTTGGTGTCATTTTCGTCATCGCTCCATGGAAGTGAGTATATTTAATCTTAAAGATGCTCAAGACTCATCTGTTCTAGCTACCCGTATCTTGTCATGATCAATTCTGTGCTTCCGGCGCTCATTGCCGGAAATGCTGTCATCTTGAAGCCTTCTCCCCAAACGCCTCTCACCGCCGTGCGATTCAAGGAAGCTTTGAATAACGCTGGATTTCCTACTGATCTCATACAAGTGGTGCATCTCTCGCTACCGCTTACTCGATATGTCGTGCAGCATAAGCTAGTCGATTTTGTCGTGTTCACAGGCAGCGTAGCAGGAGGAAAGGCTATTGAAACGGCAGCCGTTGCTGCTGATGGATTCAAGGGCGTTGGTTTGGAGGTGCCGTATTTAACCATCACAGGTACTAAGTCACTAAGCCAAAGTCTAGCTCGGAGGAAAGGACCCGGCATATGTTCGTGCAGATGCAGACCTGAAAGATGCAGTAATACAGCTAGTTGATGGTAAGTCAAAAAACGTACAACTGTGCTGCTTTTTCACTGATGTACGTAGGCGCAATGTACAACGCTGGGCAGAGTTGCTGTGCAGTCGAGGTAAAAAGCATTACTTTTAATGCCGAAGTATGACTTACCTCAGCTGAACAGCGGATCTACGTTCACGAGTCAGTGTATGACAATTTTGTGAATGAATATGTCAACGAAACCAAGGCAAGTCGTGACTCCTGTAGAATATTCTGATGTAGCTTGAACGTAAGTCTAGAAACTCATACTGGGGGATCCTATGAACAAGCAAACGACCATCGGTCCGGTGATTAGCATTGCCAGTGCAGAGAGGATCCGCCAGCAGGTTTCTAGTGCAGGCAAGTGTTCCACAAATCGTACTGCCGCTGGCTGATCATATCATAGTGCAAACGGGCGCAAAAGCGCTAATACCCGAAAACCTGTATCCAAAGGCAGAACCGTGAGTCAACGTTTGTATGGTAGAAATGGATATTCACCATCTTCAGAGGCACGGCATTTGTTGCGCCCCAAGTCTTGGTCGATGTGAATCACAGTGAGCTTGTTATATCCATGTCCTTTGATACTGTTCTGTTCTGAGTTCCGATCAACAGCGATGGACGTCATGAAGGTCAATCCTTTATCTATCATGCAAAATCGTGTCTGATTTGATGCAGGAAGAGACATTCGGACCCATCATTGGCATCCAGAAGGTGATTTGATCAATGTTGTCTTTTAAGGATCGGCAATAAGCTTCAGCAGGTCTCATCTGATGCAGAAGCAATTGAGCTCATGAACGATTCGGAATACGGTCTTACCGCTTCCATCTGGACCAAGTCATTGGATGACTTCAGCACCCTCGCAGACCAAGTGCAAGCCGGAACAATCTTCCTCAATAGGTGTGAACTCTTTATCCAGATTACTGGTACATCGCACTGATTCCCATGCTTCAAGATGTGATTCGCTCGACCCAGCTTTGGCCTGGACAGGGATCAAGAACAGTGGACGTGGCGTCAGTCTGAGCAAATTCGGTGCGTTCCCATCGACACACAGCCCACGTTGAGGTCACTAATGCAACCACAGGATACGACCAACTGACAAGGGCGAAATCTATCAACATGCGGATAAACACAGCATGACCAGATCGTGGATATTAACATCGTAAAGTACTCTATTGAGATGGTTTCCGTACAACAAGTAGAATATGATACGGAAGTCGTGGATGTCTCAATTCTTGAAGCAACAGTGTATTATGGATACCTGCAGACAAGTATTGTCAGTTATGATCAATGCAACGATCATAGATGCAAAAAATGGTAGATCAGGACCCTCAAGCGTAAATAGAGGGCCAGGGAAATTATCTCCAACGTGCGGACACTCGGTCTGGTGCACAGCAATACAATCATCACAATAGAGAGTTGGCAAAAAGGGTATAAAATCTCACCTGTGAGCTTAGCCCATCAACCAAGAAGTTTGGGACAAGAAACAGCCATGACAAATACCCAACCGACAGCAATTTTTATGCAGCTGCTGACGTAAGATATTCACACGTGCTTGGCAAGTTGCGACTGGCAGGTCCATCGTGATTCGTCCCAGAGGACGTAAAAGAGGTGGGCGATTCCTTCCATGCACAGCCAAGGTGCAGTGGCTCTCGGGTCTATATTTCAAGGGATCCTCAACTTTGTCGTCCTGATTCGCATTACCATTCAGCACACGGCAGCATACAAAGTTTAAATGTGGTACACAAGGGGCGGACTTAAACTCATGATATTAGCTGAGCACTGTCCACTCATCCTCCACTCTTCCAAGGTATCGCTCGTATGGCCATGAACGGCAGTCTTGATGAGCTATTCCCCTACACCCCTGTCATTCCGTCCTGGCCACTGATGGGGAACACCTCGTCTCGATGTCTTGGTACACTGTGTGGTCCAAAATCAGATGGCTTTGGATTCTGGAATTTGGGGCACGAACATACAGGACCAGGGTGACAGTAACTCGGTTCCTTGGAAATATGGCAAGCGAGCAGCAGGACCCGGTCAACCGCTGGGAATGTGTATGGTGTATCGACGGGGGCGAAATCAAGTGCTTATTTACAATACCTGTGGTCGGTACTATGATATATATATGCATATCAGATTTGCGTCCAATCATGTACGCCGATATCCAATGCATTTAGTCTCCCTCGCCATGTCAGTCAGACAATGTAAATGTGCAGCACGTATGATTTAATAGTACAGTGTGGATCGTGAATGACGTGGTTGGGATATAGACTGCACAGTGCAAATATCAAGACCTAGAATCGGTTGCGCTTTCTTTGCTGCTTTATCATTGCATCGACCGCCATGCCCCTGTTATAAATTTATGAGTACTCAGTACAAAACACAATAGGTTAGGGAAGATCGTAGCAGGCAAGAGTGGGGATAAACCGAAAACGAAAAAAAATAGAACTCACTTCCGCCCTTTCATTCTCGGCTCTTCGTCTACATCCATTGCATCTGCCAAATCGACGCCACCTCGCATGACATTTCCACTGGCCGTCAACGGTCCTCGCTTTTTTGAGTCCTTGGATACATCTTTGAGAATAGCATTATATGCCCTATCGTGCTCCTCATTATCCATCGCAACTGCTGTGCTGTAAGAAGCGATCTGCGCAAGCTTATTGTCTAACGCGGAAAGGACTGAAGCGGTTGTCGAAGCCCTAGAAAAAGACAATGATTAGTCCAGACAAAAGGAGGTAAAATGAAAGCTGAAACAAAACATACCATGCCTTCAGGGCTGCAAGCACTGCCTCTGCCTTTCCAGGCTCGAGGTCTCGTCCCATTGTGTACTCAATCTCGAGTTGCTGCTCCTTCTGATCGAGCTTCCCGCGGAGGATGTCGAGATATATCGCATCAATTATGAGGTCCTCGAGGTCGCGGATCGTGGGCATTTGCAGCTCTTGTAAAAGGAGAGAGTACGGGAGAATCTGTAAGGGTAGTGTTGTAGTGTTAGTGACCAAGTGTTATGGTAGACCTAGACGTACGCGTCTGGTAGCGGCAAGCGATACGATAGACAGGTGCTTGAGCTTTGTTATCTGAGCTTGGTTTAGTTGAGGCAGCGAATCCTTATTTGCTGTATGACGGTCAGCACGAATCATGATATGAGATGATGATCCACACACCAAGGTAATCCTTGTATGTCCGATACGAGAATACCTGCAGCAAGGAGAAGAAAGGAGCATGCTGCTCGTTGTTTACCAGCTGTTTCGCGGAATGCAGATGAAGAGGAGTAACCAGATATGCCGCATACGACATACCTCCTGAATATTGGGGAGCTCAAGGAGCTCGGCAAAGACAAACACGCCTTGAGCTGAAGTAGCGTCCTGGATAAGTTTCGCTGCTGCTGCACCCTTGGCTGACTTTGAGATGAGAAGGAATGGCTCGAGCTTTGCAGCAAAGTTCGTTCCTAGCTCCATCTCCAGTGTCCACGTTAAAGCTCAAGTGTCTCTTCATCGATTTACGATTTGGTGTCCTCGTGAGAAAAAAAGAAATGCCAAGTCAGGTTAATCATGCTATCATACATAATGTTTTTTAGATATGAGCTGCTACTGATAGATACAAATATTGATGTATGTAGAGAAAGCTAAGAGTACTGAATTTTCAAACTCGATTGCTCCAAACTCGATTTATTTCTTGCTATGTCCAATAGGAGGGGTGGACTGAGTGGGCTTCGAACCTTGAATAGGAATGGTTTTGGTCTCCTGCTCCGGAGGCGCTTTCGGGAAGGTGACCTCCAGGACACCCTTCTGCATCTGTGCCTGAACACTTTCAGGCTTGGATTTGACAAGCATACTACATCAGCGACGAGCTCGTTCATCGTTACGTGTGATCGTACCTTAGTTCCCTCAGGGAGCTGCAGGTTTCGAGCAAAGCGTCCGAAAGAGCGCTCGCGCACCACAAACCGACCCTCGTCAGTCTGGATTTTCTTCTCGCCCGAGATGGTCAGGCGGTCATTACGAACTTCAACGTTAACGTCCCGCTGATCCATACCGGGGAGTTCAAACCTCGCCATGACATTGTCTTTTGTTTCAACGAGGTCCATCCTGTGTGTTCAAAGATGTTAGAGCATATTATTTTTCCCGTACAGGCAGGTGCCACGCACTTGGGGCGGATTGTTGTGGGACGAGACTCGTCGGAGTCAGGCCGGAAGCGCGAGGTAAAAGCTTCGTCAAAAAGACGATCAAATTCAGTGAATGGGTCGTAGAGAAACTGTGTGAGGGCCATATTTTTGGTGTGATGATGGAGTGCGGCAACAGCGATGTTGGCTTAGCTAGCCGCATGTTATATGTCGCCCCTATTGACCTCCGGGCGTTACTCCTGGATCAAAGCCTAGGTTTGCTATGATGCAATATATGAGTACAGGGGCTACGTAGCCCTGGACTGAGGCTACCCCAGCCTGCGACAGACTCAGTGGTCCATATCCGTGTTTTTTTGGCTTGTTCACCATGCCGACAACCTTCTGGTTCATGCAAGTGTGGTCCTTCTGATAGAAAACTACAGAGGGCCGCCTGACTATGCGACTCCCGGTCCTCTACGCATAGAAATGAATTCTTCATCATACAAGCTAGTAGCTGGTAAGTAGGTTTCTATCATTTCTGTCCGAATATCCTTTACTTGCTAGCTAATACGTAGATCTTACACTTAGTCGGACACCAAACTCGGCAAGATCTCCAAAGTGGTGCATATTGGGTGATGGACAAGTAGTAAGTTTCACAGGACGTGCTCGCACAGCTGTTTCCATCCATCGACGTGTATTTTAACTCTCCACCTTGAACTAACTGCCTTGCTATAGCCACACCGTATTTGTGGACTCTGATGCATATGGCAGCCTAGATGCACAGCTCGCGATGACGGTAAAAACCCCATCACATCAGACGAAGTCAGTCAACTTATCCATTCGACTCACACATCTACTCAGGGCAGTGCCGGCGTGTTCTATTCAAAATCATTTTTCTCTTTGCCTTCGGGCAGACCACTAATGACCGTGGTAATGACTGTCTGAAGTCATACTAGTATGTGTAAATGGAATGGGTGGTGCACACATATGTTGCGCATTGCTTGTTTGAGATCTGCACGCCCTCCACGAACGATTCACCGATGGCCACCTTCTACTCGCTCATTTCCTTAACTTAATAAGAGAGTTGCACCAAGCATATTCATCAACGTACACATACACGATGGAAGCAGACACAAGACGACGTAGTACATATTTGCGGGTTTCGACGGCTCAACGTTCAACCTTGAACACCTCTGCAAGGTAGTACCTAGTGGCGACAACTAGCCGATTGGCTGGAGATTGGAAACCCGGGTAAATTCCCAATGCTGGTGACTGGTTCCTTTGACATGATTCTCGAGTTTCACCTTGTGGACGTTATAAGCAAATGGCTCTGAAAAAAGATTCACCCACTTACTGCACAGTTACTTGCGCTTGGAAGGGATAGTACCAGGTTCTTGTTCCCGAGCGTGAAGCTGATACTGTACATGCGAGTGGTTGAATAAGCAAAAATAGGTTGCTGAGTACTGCGTCGTATTCTCACGTGAAAGTATTGTCCTTGGATGCAACAAGATCGACGATAAACGCCTGCCTGGTATAAACGACTGGTTCATCTGAATCCTGTCCGCGTCCGCGTCAACCAAAAAAGTAAATGAATGAATGAATGCCGATCCAGCTTACCTGTCTCGCAGTAGCGAAGCATCCATTTCCATTGTTGCCGCAGTTGTTGGACTGAATGCTGACAGTTTTGTTGACGGACCCTGCCTCGTTTTGTTTCTTGATCACCCACTAATAGACATGATGTGTGAGAGAACCGGTCGCAAGGTGGATGCGGACGCGTATAGATACCTGTTGAGCCACAGTGCCATTGCTGGTGAAGCCTTGAATCTGATTGCCTTCAGCGGTGCTGTCGCTCTTCAGATCGAGCATGAGGTTTCTGCCGACGTTTCGGATAGTATACACTCCATCAGAGGGGAAAGTCATTGGATAAGTTGTAGGTCGCTAGTAGGATGATTCGACAATGAGATGAGGAATTGACAAAGGAAAGGTTAGAAAACGGTGGGCTTTTATAGCGAGCATCTTGAGCTGTTTTCTGTCGAAACACAGACACGGTGGAGATAGGAGCTACAAATCTGGGTAATACAAGTGAGCACGACAATACTAACTTGATACATTGCGTACCGTTCTTTTCAAATGCTAGTGGAGTAGAAGGTTCCCGTTTATCAGTCTGGATTCAATTGAATAAGAAAATAAGGCAGGGGCCGACGGAGATGAAAGATGACGATTAGCGGCAGCACAGCGGATATTCTTGTATGTCATCGAATCCTCGAGTCTCGATGGGAGCAAGTACTGTGTGTTAGCTCTTGACAAAGGTAAAATTGACGATCACTATATAGTGAGGCAAAGCGTATTCTAAACACTGAGCATTATGTAAGCTGTGAAATGGTAAGCGTACAACATGACGTGAGGACTAATATTGACACCGAGCCTCCGGAAATAGCCGGATATATATGTCAACGACGAAGTATTTACGAATCACCGACCGTGGTTAACGTCCTCAGTTATAGGACCTGGTCTGGCAGCTTCCAGGCTTGCTTCATTTTTTTTTGAGAACTACCTTCTAGCTAGCTCTCGACTCTCCACCTTCACATTGCAACGGCACCCTCCGAGTCTGGCCACAGCACTCCGATTCAGCTAGCCTTGACCTGCTGTAAATATTACCCCTGCCCCAGGCTAACCAAAAACGGTGACCGTACTGCTCCTGGGCCAGGCTACACAATCTCTTCTGTCTCCCGCGGTCGCCCTTTCTTGTACAGTGCTTAGGTGATTTTGGTAGGTTATCATAAGCCAACCTGGACCTTGGTTCTCAGATAAATTTCCGCTAAAAGGTTTCGACTCATAGAGAACTTGTCTGAGAAATGGACACTGCCAGGTCCGAGTCTGGACAGGTATGCTTCAGTCTAGGGTGTTATATTGGGCGTAGCCCCTGTACTCGAACAATTTGTATATATTGCATCATAGCAGACCTAGGCGCCTGTTGACTTGATACAGGAGTAACGTCTGGAGGTCAATAGGATATAATATGGCGGCTAGAGCCAACGAACCGTCGCTTCATCTTTCATCTCCGTCGGCTCCTGCCTCGTTTTCTTATTCAATTGAATCCAGACTGATAAACGGGAACCTTCTACTCCACTAGCATTTGAAAAGAACGGTACGCAATGTATCAAGTTAGTATTGTCGTGCTCACTTGTATTACCCAGATTTGTAGCTCCTATCTCCACCATGTCTGTGTTTCGACAGAAAACAGCTCAAGATGCTCGCTATAAAAGCCCACCGTTTTCTAACCTTTCCTTTGTCAATTCCTCATCCCATTGTCGAATCATCCTACTAGCGACCTACACCTTATACAATGACTTTCCCCTCTGATGGAGTGTATACTATCCGAAACGTTGGCAGAAACCTCATGCTCGATCTGAAGAGCGACAGCACCGCTGAAGGCAACCAGATTCAAGGCTACGCCAAGAATGGCACTGTAGCTCAACAGGTATCTATACGCGTTCGCACCCACCTTGCGACCAGTTTTCTTACACATCACATCTGCTAGTGGGTGATCAAGAAACAAAACGAGGCAGGGTCCGTCAACAAAACTGTCAGCATTCAGTCCAACAATAACGGCAGCAATGGAAATGGATGCTTCGCTACTGCGAGACAGGTAAGCTGGATCGGCATTCATTCATTCATTTACTTTTTTGGTTGACGCAGACGCGGACAGGATTCAGATGAACCAGTCGTTTATACCAGGCAGGCGTTTATCGTCGATCTTGTTGCATCCAAGGACAATACTTTCACGTGAGAATACGACGCAGTACTCAGCAACCTATCTTTGCTTATTCAACCACTCGCATGTACAGTATTAGCTTCACGCTCGGGAACCAAAACCTGGTACTATCCCTTCCAAGCGCAAGTAACTGTGCAGTAAGTGGGTGAATCTTTTTTCAGAGCCATTTGCTTATAACGTCCACAAGGTGAAACTCGAGAATCATGTCAAAGGAACCAGTCACCAGCATTGGGAATTTACCCGGGTTTCCAATCTCCAGCCAATCGGCTAGTTGTCGCCACTAGGTACTACCTTGCAGAGGTGTTCAAGGTTGAACGTTGAGCCGTCGAAAGTGTTCCCGCAAATATGTACTACGTCGTCTTGTGTCTGCTTCCATCGTGTATGTGTACGTTGATGAATATGCTTGGTGCAACTCTCTTATCAAGTTAAGGAAATGAGCGAGTAGAAGGTGGCCATCGGTGAATCGTTCGTGGAGGGCGTGCAGATCTCAAACAAGCAATGCGCAACATATATGTGCACCACCCATTCCATTTACACATACTAGTATGACTTCAGACAGTCATTACCACGGTCATTAGTGGTCTGCCCGAAGGCAAAGAGAAAAATGATTTTGAATAGAACACGCCGGCACTGCCCTGAGTAGATGTGTGAGTCGAATGGATAAGTTGACTGACTTCGTCTGATGTGATGGGGTTTTTACCGTCATCGCGAGCTGTGCATCTAGGCTGCCATATGCATCAGAGTCCACAAATACGGTGTGGCTATAGCAAGGCAGTTAGTTCAAGGTGGAGAGTTAAAATACACGTCGATGGATGGAAACAGCTGTGCGAGCACGTCCTGTGAAACTTACTACTTGTCTATATGCACCATTTTCAAACTACTTTAAAGATCTTGCCGAGTTTGGTGTCCGACTAAGTGTTATTTGCTAGCAAGTAAAGGATATTTGGACAGAAATGATAGAAACCTACATACGCGTGTGCTTCGAATGAGTCGTTACCAGCTACTAGTACTAGCTTGCACGATGAAGAATTCATTTCTATGCGTAGAGGACCGGGAGTCGCATAGTCAGGCGGCCCTCTGTAGTTTTCTATCAGAAGGACCACACTTGCATAAACCAGAAGGTTATCGGCATGACGAACAAGCCAAAAAAACACGGATTGCATACCCCTAGCAACAAAATTGTGCGCCAGTGCTTTTTAATGCGCAGGCGTCTTTGGGGACATTTTGAAGCCGAAACAAGCAACGAAGTGGTGCTCGCCAAGCCATCCCCTTCTTGCACTTCAATATCATCTCGTATAGTCCAGCAGGTATCTCGAGGACATATCCATGATGAATTGATTGATGCTCTCTCGGGACGACATCCTTTGGTTCCCAAATTCAACTACAAAAACAATGCATGGTCATGCGTGCAGGATGCAAGATGGAAAAGTTAACAACAGCATATTGGGAAAAGCATTCTTCAAACGCCCAAAGGGCATCTCGATGGCTACCCAATGCAGTGCTATGTGTTCCTCGGTATCAGGTTGTTGCAGGGATCGGAGAACTCTGCTGTTGGGAAAGCAGCGCAGGAGTTAGCAATGGGCGTGACAGAAGAAGGGGCGTAATTGCGAGGAGACAATGTCAATGTCACGGATGCGAAATAGAACCGTGGCGCGATTCAATTTTCTGCTTGGATAGAGGATACTGATCGTTTGCATTAGACGGAATTTGCTGATAACGCAGACATAGAAATTGCATACGAAGGAGGCGAATTAGTAAAGGAGGTGCTATCATCGAAGACTCTAGACTTGGTATAAGGGTGAAACAAAGAAGAGTCTTTGAGGATCACTTAGACGTGTTGATGGGGTGGAATGAAAGATCAAAGGTAACAAATGTATTTGATTAAGTCCAGAGAGCATGTTACATTGAACGAGTAGAGACAGTTTTCGGGCGAGGACGCGCAGCGTCATCCGGCCCCGAGGGGCTAACCTGAGGTGAAGAGGTGAGCTGCGAGGGAGGGAGGGCTTCCTCGCATTGACCGGGTTTCAGGTGACCTCCGGGCCCAAAGGGTTCGGGTATAGAGAGCGAGGAACTTGCATTAGTGATGATGCAAGAAAAGGAGAGAGGAGGGTGGGGAAATAAAACGAGCACGATAATACTTCTTAGTGCGAACGGATGTTGTGGCACGGAGACAAGAAGCGCGATGCCACGTCCGACGTTCGCTCGAAGACAAAACTCTATTCCTCCGCTCGTGCCTCGTTACATAATAGACTACCCAACACCGCCAAACTGCTAACAGGATATAGCAGCCCGCCAAGCATGACAATGATGCGAGCGATCGGCTGGGGAGCAAGCGACGAAACAACAAACATGGTAAAGATGGCACGAGTTGGTTGGTGTCTGAACGAAGTAGATAAGAAGGTTGCGTACATGGTCAACCGGTCTCGGAGATGCAGTGTAATCAAGAGGAAAAGGCGGTGAACCAATGCTCTTTCCCAAAGACGGTTAGCTAGCCAATGTCGTTGAGTCCTCGTATTCTGCTTATCGAACTGATATAGTTGGACCAGCAGACCTCACAGTTGGCATAAATTTTGAACGAAGGCGGACGTAGACGATTAAGATCGCGAATAATGGTATGTACACAAGAACAGCGTTAATGAATTATGATCGAGAGATGTTTTGATATTGCAGACTTGAGCTTTCGTACTCTATCAAAAATAGCCGACTGCGGTCGTTCATCATAAACCTTCGCCAGACATCAGCAGATAAGTATAACAGAAGGGTGAAACAACATACATTAGAAGCTCATTGACATAATCCCTCACTAGCCCGACGCTCTCCGCGTCCATCGTAGAACTGGAGACCATCTGTGGTAGACTCACTAGGCCGAGCAACTCATCAGTGGACACCAAGTACGTCATGTGAATAAGATCGCACCAAGCATCCTAAGCAAGTGTTCTGCTCCATATATGGCGCTCATATCTTTCTCCTGGCCAACCTGCACCTTGGGACCCGTGACATACTGCTTGCGAATCTCAGCGTATTGTGGACGTTCAAAGCGGTAGAGAAGGTTTGCGCCGAGCGAGCGATCAAAGTAGACTTGCAGTCCTGAAATTATTGTTGGGAGGACGAGTTCAGGCTCGCGAAGGCTAGAAGACAGAATGGCGCTTGAGTTAGCAGGATATTGGGTATTCTCAATGGAGGAGCTGACGTTGTGTTTTTCCCGAGCCCTATCACATAATCTTTGAACTGCTGGAGGATCTCAACAACTGTTGGACGTCGTGGTACAGATACCAGCTTTCGGGTTATCAATATCCAACTAAGGCGCCAAAGCAACACGATCCTACCTGACTGTTCTTTGTAATCGCCTCCCAATCATCCACAAGTAGTACTTTCAGCACCTCTGGGACATTGAGTTTCATTTCCGGCTTCTTGCTGCTATCGTCCTTTTATAAAAATGTCATCAGTACCACTACAGAGAAAACACCACGATAATTGTCCAAAAACAAACACACCTCCTCTCTCCCTCTCTTCGTTCCTCTACCATCCTTACGCCCAAGCCCGCCACCGCGCGAGGAGCTACTGTCCTTCATCATACCCCCACCATGGGCCTTCCCTTTCGAGGATGACCCCGAGGTAGATGCAGCTGCGCTGGCCTGTGCCATCAGTGCTTTCTGCAGTTGCACATTCGTGTCATTGAACTTGAGGAGCCGTGTGATAGGCACCCATTCATCCCACCTAGCCAGTAGTGAGTAAAAAAATAAGTCAAACTCAAACACAGAGGACAACGCACGTCTGCTTCCACCCCTTATAGTGCACGAAGAAATGGGGACCAACTGTGGAGAGCTTAGTGTTGGTTTCGTCCCACGTCTCCGCTTTTAGTATCTTAGCCTCGTAGACGAGGGGCCCATGATAGCATAAGATGCGCTCGCTGACTGTGAACGACAAAGACATTCGCTGCGCAGAACTTTCGTATGCTCAGGGTTTGTTGGTTGGAAAGGTCAGATGTTTATGTAAGATGTTCCTGGCCCTATAGGTGCCTATCCTTAGAATTTGCACATTTTTCGACACAAGTAATCAAAGTAGCGAATGGTAGGGTAATCCAACAGTATGGCATCGCATAAATGACAGCAAGCAGTAAAGAGACACCCATAGAAACCAAATAACGTAAGAAATAAAGAGGACTTCAAGAACAAAACCCCATCTCTGAATCACCCATGCAACTCCACGCTGCAAAAGCATTGCAGCCTCGAGCTGTGCTTCCGACTTGAAGCAGAGATGAACGTGCGCAACATCAGCATGAAAGATTCTATGAGGAAATTGTTCAGCACAGGACATCCTGATAACGGCTAGGTCATATTGAAACCAACCTAAGCTTGCTGAACAGTCGCTGTCGGCCACTTAGAAAAACCTGGCCAGTATTTGGCCGGCGTCATAATAAGTGCCTCACAAACGAGGACAACGTAACAGCGGCTGCATGTGATCGAAGGGTTTCGTTATGCTAATTCTTGAGCCGGCACGTGTTCTGCTCGAAGGTCTGATCAACAAACAAATGAACATGTTGATTGACCACTCGGGTTTCATAAAGCGAGAATGTACTCACGGCTAGTATAGAACCTCCCCCTCCTTGTTTCCCGTCATCGTCGCGCATTACACGCTTCACAGAATCTCTTCGTCGTCCGCCTCGAGGGTATGGTCCAATCGTAAACCTCATTATATTCTATTTTCATTGTTTTTGCCAGCCCCTTAAACAAATCTCGGAGTCCCACGTAGTCTGGGAGGTCTTCAAACTCGAGACCTCTTGCATAGTTGAAAAAAATTTCGAACTCCACAGGAAGACCCACAGTGAGAACCGATGCAGCCTCGAGCTTTTTGTCTCGTATAGAATCCCACGTCTCAGCAACTGTGGCGCCTTTAATTTTCCGCCACGGTAAGGTGCCCCGGAGAAAGTAAACCAGCATGTAAGCAAGAGATTCTAAATCGTCACGCCGAGAGCACTCTTTACCAAACCATTAGGTTAATCATGGCCACTTGGACAGCCGACTACTATAACTCACCGATGCCGAGATGCGCGTTGATAGATGCAAAGAGGGATGTACCCACGCCATGATGGTTGTCCTGTCGATATGGAATATGGGCGCTTGTCTTTGGGTCTCGAAATTTTTTGGCGAGCCCAAAATCGATCACATTGACCAAATGTTCTGCACGGTCTGTCCCCATTACGAAGTTGGCAGGTTTGACATCACGGTGGACGAAATCGCGCGAGTGGATAAACTCTAGGCGCGATAGCTGGGTTGTTGGGAAGGCGTCAGCAATGCTGAGGGAAGAAGGCAGAAAAAGGAAAGTCCAACACAGCTTGGAGTCATAGAAGATGCTCTGGACCACAACGTGTAGATGCAGGACGCGCAACGGTAGATAGGACATACACCTTGCCTGGGGAAATACCGCAGGTAAGACTCACTAATTGATCCGCAAGCTGGAGTACGGTTTTCATTGTGAAGTGACGACTGCACATCTTGAAGAGGTCTTCGAGGGATGGACCCAACAAATCGATCACCATGACATTGTAATCACCGTGCTTTCCTGACCACATGATCCATGGCACCCCAGGACCACCCATGAGGGTCTTGTAGACCTTGGACTCCTGCTTGAGGGGACTGTTGCGTGCTATGGCTGGTTCTAATTTAATGGCAACTTCCTTCCCTGCGACTGTATGGACTCCAAGGAATACTGTGCCTATTTGAACATGATGTGGAATCAGGGGGACCATCGGTATATAAGCAGATAGAGCAAGAGTTACCGCATCCTCCAATGGCGATTTCCTCTTCAAGTCTGTACTTTCCACCTAACGTGAAATCCATGGTAACTTCCTGCAAGATAGATACTAGGCTCAACGACGTGGAGAACGATGAGTAAGATAGATGGCACCTCAAGATGATAGTTGTCCTCAAGTTACCCTATAAATACGAATGTGGGCTGAGAGACCCAGATGTGGCGTATTCAATTGAAAGGTTCAGTTTTGTGGATGCTTATGTCAGTCGGCATTTCGGCAATGACCTCCACAGTTCTTCCTGAATTGAAAATCACGAGACCGCGTCGCGACGCGTCACGCTCTGTGTTCCAATACTCTCCTCTTCACACTAAAATCTACAGAGTACCTACGTGAGGGGCCAGGGCGCTGCTCTGAAACATCATATGATCCTGCATGAATACACCGCAGTCACTTAATCACCGCCTTCTATGTGAGAATGCACTACTGGTACGTGCGCCTTCTTTTGCTGATGCGTGGTATTATAGTGACGCCATTTTAATCGTCAGAAGAAAGAAGGCCGGCTAAATAATTAAGAGCCTGACTCCACACTCCCGCTCCTGCAGATTATAGTAAGGCTGTACTACAGCCTTAACTTTCCCCACTACCGTGACAGCGCTCTCCGTTCGATACCCAGGCTGCTTTTTCCTCGATCGGCCAGTGAACTCCAGCATGACGTACATCCGAGTGGTGGGACTCCACTGTTCCAAAAATTCTCTGGAGTCATTGACAAAACGTTTTCCTTCCCGGTCGACTCCATAGCCTTCCCTTGCATTTCCCTACTAGATTTCAACTCCTCCCAACTAAGTGCGCATTGGTGCAGGCCACAAGTCTGGGCTATCCATAAATGCATTCCGGTGGGAGAACATCATCCTAAAACCACACTTTCAACTTGCAATTTTTAGTCTCGACCTCACTAACACCGCTTACTCAGTCCCGTCGCTTTCAAAGCCTGCTTAACCTACCATCATGCTAGTTACCTCTAATTGTTGTGTTTAGAACGTCTCTGTCATTTGGTTTGAAATATTTTAATCCTTCTGCGTGCCTGAAATTGTCTTCGTGGTAGTTGCCCTCCCATGCACATTTGTTCTTATGACAATTCGCAATACAGCACATTTCAAAGATCATGGAACATGCCTTTCTTCGATGCTCTTACATAAATCTCCCAGGGTGCCACCACGACTCGGAGCACTACCGCGCGCACTTTCTAAATCCGAAACCTAAATCAAGTCCCAAATGTTCATATCATTTTAAAGACATCTTGACCGCATCCACGTAATCGCTTTCCGAGTCCTGGTACGTCCTGGAGGCAATCTCTACCACCAGCCAGCTACATTAAGAGATCGACCCCAAATTTCTCGAACTCGCTATCATGTCCACAACCTGAGATCAAGCAGCAGATGCTCGACTCCTGCACTATCGCTAGTGCTAGTGCCTGCATATCCGTTCCTGGGTCCGTCGCTGTCACTGTTTTGAACCAACAAGCCGTTTTATGTTTGGTGTGTAATTCCTAGACGTTAGCACCCTGGATTCCTTTAAATTCCCCCGACTCTACAAAGGCGGCTAGTGAACTCTAGCATGACGTACTTCTGAGCAGTGGGACTCCACTGCTCTAAAAATCTATTTGTTAGTCCTTTGACTCACTCAAACACAGGAATCATCGTCCGTTTGGCGGAAGCGAGTATTAGTCTCGCGGTGATGCATAAACTTTGGGCCGTTCTCTCGACATACTATACCGCTTCCCTGCAAGCGTGGTCAACATAATCTACATGCGTATCCTTGAATACAGGACGAACTGGGGGTAGTACGGTGATCTGGCACCGTGATCGTCGAGAAGGAGAAGGACCCCGCAATATACCGTCAAATTGTTGAAATGGAGGGATAGGGGTTTATAGGACCCAACTCGTTACAAGTCTAATGATAACAACTCAAGATCGGGCAGGAATATGCCTATCGACCCAGCTGGTCATAAAACCTGCAGGTGGGCCCGGGGGAGCTGCGAGCCTATCAAAAAACATTTGCTGGCACTGCATGTATGATGTAACTCAACCAGCATACTGATCGCATGTATTCCTCCTGAGCAAGTGTTCCAGAAAGCGACATTGATAGTGAGGAGCTATCTGTTAGCATACACGGGTATGGCACTCAGTTGCAATGCTGAGATCTGAGACGTTAGAAGGCATAACATCATTATATCAAATCGATAACGGGGGGTGCCTCTGGCAGGAGAAATCCACGGTTACCGCAGAAAAATGCTGGGGCACGTACCCTTTGAATAGCGTGGTCCAAAGTCATTCCGTTTAACTTATGATTGCGAACAGAGTTACATGAACGGTTTCGCACGAGATAAGTAGAGAGTCATGCAAGGTGTATTGGCTACTTCTCGAATTGCTCCCTCACGAATTGCTTGATAAGAGTTGTGATTTCCCGTTTCACGGAGAGAGGTACACTTGCTGGGGGATGATAGAAGTGGTCAGTGACACTGGTAGATGATCGAGTGGAAATTAGTACTTTGCGCATGCGATAACAATTCCTGCAGGATCGTCTGAAGGGAAAGCGGGTCCATACTTCGACTGTTTTCTATTGGATGTGGGGATTAGGCATCAAGTAACAGCAGGATAGGCATACATACCTTTGGCACGGTGCAGAAGGTCATCTGCCCATCCGCTTTCAGAGAGCTTAGAGGACAGGAGATGTAATATTCTAGGTTGTGATTTTTTTTCAGTAGCTATGAGAGATATCAAATAAACACCCACCGATCCCACTCTCCATTCTCGATCATTCGACGGTGAACTTCTACATGAAGGACTTCAACTTCGGAGGTCAATTTGGACATGACAGTTCCTCAAAGCCTGATGTGTCAATAGAGTATGGTATCCACCATCAGCACCAAACCCAAATAAGGGTTTTAACGGTCACTAAAGAATTGCGAGACCCGCTTGAAGATTGTAGATTACTGCAGGATGCAAAGTCCTTGGCTACGATTGGAGGATATACAAAAACCAACAATTCAAAACAAAGTTAAGAGTCACGTGTGCGAACGCGTGAAGTGTGTTCTCGCGTCAAAATTTTCAAATCCACTTCTTGCCCACTTCTCGACATGGAAGTAATTGCTCATTGTTTCCCACTATGTAAGATATCAATGCAATGAAAATCTACCATATCCTTCTGGGCCGCAAAATAGCATTCCCCAGACTTCATGGAATACTTAGATCTGGCTGGGATGAATAGAGCCCAGTTGATGACTTGAGCTGTGGCCAGCACTTCGCTGACACTGTTTACATTGCATTAGCAAGCACTACGAGGTACAAAAATATTGCTCGCTCACTTGATACACTATCTGATCAGAAGACCAACATAGAAAATTGAAAATACTGTCCCTGTCATCTTCTCCATCACTACAAATCTCGCGCATCAGGTTCACAGTGATCTTCATGGTCCCAGGATCCCGGATGACTTCTGAAGATTCGTTGGCCTCATCTATAATTGCAGCCTCGCTGTGATGAATAGGACCTGCCTCGCGCACATCTCGACATGGGAGGTGATGATCGCCGGATGCAAGATCTTGAGGTGGATTCACGACGTCAACCACAGGGCGAAGTCACCGACTATCCGAGACCAATCATCTTCGATGCCATCAAGGACGCGCTTCGTAGAACTGTTTGAAGATTCTGGAATCATGAATGCAAGGTTCGCCTTGCCTGCCGTCTTGCAGTCCGATATATCGATATGGAAATCCATCTAGCCCTCGACACCTGGTGACTATTGTGACTGTCGCTCATCAAATTTCCGTTTGGATGAATGTCAACGCCTTACGTATAGTAGCATTTCCCAGGTCGCTTTATTCGCCTTGCCGATGCCAATAAAAGCTGATTTGCGCTTTGGACTGAATTCTCCACGCTCATATTCGTTGTATGCTTCGCTGTGCAAATGCTGGCGAGCATGATGCGCATAGAGAGCTTCGAACTCTAGTACTGTTGATTGCCCAGAAAGGCTTGGCGAAGCAAACCTACACCAGAAGGCGATGCGGCACTGAATCTGTGTTGTGTGGGCGTGGCCTCAAGGAATGCTTTTGTCTCGGTCTTGGAAGATAGCAAGACTAATTGGAGATGAAAGCTGAGAATCCATGACATCTCCAGCACATGCACTGAAATGAATTTAGCCTTTGACTCAGACAACCAGCTTAGTTTGGCATAATGATAATTGGTGAGGCAAGGTGAGGAGCCGTCAAAAGTACGATTTGCGGTACATCGCGAAAAAAAGGACGCTGCTCCCTGAGTGGCATCAATGAAACCAGGGAAACAGGCTAGAAATTGGTAGGTATCAAATTGTCCGCTCATACCATGACTTAAGTCAACTTGCTTAGTTTGAGCTCTTGCAATTGCCACTTTGCGTCGTAGAGCTGGAAAAAAGCAACGATATCCGCTTGAGCTTTATTGCGACGCAGTTCTTCTTGGTGCTGCCTCTCTTGTCGTTGAGCTTCTTCACGAAGGTTCACACTTATCCAGCTACTCAAGGCTGTATACAAAAAGGCCACGCGGATCTGTAGCAAGCAGATTCTCTACGTAGTATTGGTAATGATGCAATGATATGTGAGTACGAGTTAATCTTACGTCGAGTGCTTGGAACGCAACCGTCTTAGGTATAGAGGCCAGTATCAAGACTTGCAGCTATAAGTAAGAGAAATTCAACGCTGGCCATAGCAAACAAAAGATTCAGTAGGGACAAACAGCAAACATCCAGACAATTTCAAGAGTCGGGGAACAAAGAAACAATAGGCGCACCGTAGCACATTGTCCTGTCGAAACGCGTCGCTGGACGCCATATAGGCTTTCCAAATTCTCACAGCTAAACGAGATTGTACCAGTGCGTAGGATAGAAAAGATGGTTGATGGTAGAATGATCGATTAGCGAAATATTAATGGTGGGCTTAGAAGTCAGTTTCGTGATTCTCCTACGCCAGCATAAGTCCAGCTACATAAATCCATCATCCATGGCTCAAGCGAAAGACAAACGACTGGAGAGATGTATCGATGAAACTGTTACAGAAGAATATCTGGCGAGGGTATGTGTCGAAGACCAAGACCATACAACGATGGAATGAATATCAATTACCCACGGCTCCGCCAAGACAAAAGGTGATTTCACACATCGGTGACATCGCGCAGTAATAGTGACCAAAAAATGCATGCAGATTAACTTGTCAGCAACAATACTGTAACTACAAGCCATAACAAAATACAGCACGTGTGTACGATGATGTCCACATAGCAATCGCGATACACATACAGTTGAAAGTCCAGCGTGGTCCATATTCCAGAACAAGAAGAGAATGGTAATAATTTTAGAGTCCGAGTTCTTCTAAGCAGCGGAACACATCGTCTTGTTCATAGAAGTCGTCGTCCCCTGGAACCTGGGATCCTTGGTGGCAGGTCGCAGCATGTTTCCACCTAGAAGCAGAAGTAAGTCCATCGTTCACCATGCCTCGCATGTGCCCTACCAAAACAGTTCCTTAACCTAATGGCGATCATCGGAAATGTCACAAGAGATGGTACTGATTTCATACCTTCACCTCGCAATCTTTGATACTTTCGACGGGGACCCACTTCTTGCATTTATGACACCTTCCTTCAAGAATCTCCGATCGCTCCAGTTTGAGCGCGTGGCGGCGATTACTTGTCCTGTACGATAGTGGAGGTGAGAACGGACGTCCGGTTGTCGCTGACACTCCTTGAGATGCGAGAAAAAAGTCAGTGGGTGAGTGGTCATTCAAATGTCCCTTACCGTGCGCAAACTGCATATGATAGCTGAAAAAACCCGTTAAATGAAATCATCAAAAGACTGAAATTCTCTGCACAGAAATATTAGTATAAACGTATATACTGTGAGGGAAGAGTAAGTGACCACTTAAACGCAGAGAATTTTGTTGATAACCATAATTTCTGTCCCCGTCCACCGCGCAAAGGGCTTTCGATGCAGATTGGACACAGTCCTATCTTGGACCTACCTTTACCTTTGACGAAGCGCGGAGTATACAGATCTCGTGGATCTCGTGGAGGGTTACAGATACCGCCAGGGTGTTTCGAGTGATTGAAAAGCGAAGCTCTGCGCATGGTGAGCGCCAGGTAGCAAGCGAGAAATAACTTACTCTTCAGCATCAAGTTGCAGAAACGAGCTTATAGGATAACGCCGATAGAATAAAGGAAATTCGGGGTGACGAGAAACCTCTGAGGGAAGGCGACGCTGTGACGGTATGCCGAGATAATCGAGTTCCCGGGTCTGAGAGGTAAGGTCTACAGCAGTGGGGCCGCCAGAGGTACGTGCGCGTTTTGTCTGGTATGAAGGCTGTTTCTCATTATGATCGTCCGGAAGAGGGTGCTTGGGACTCCGCACGAGAACCGCACGACTAGTAGTACGAAGCGAGCGTCGAGAAGTAGAATATAACCCGTGGTTGCCTTTTGAATGTGGCACAGTAGTCGAGTTCTGTCCAAAAATGGGCAAGCATAGCGAAGAAGCACAAGACAAACCACCAGAAACATTATTGCTAAGGGGGCGCTCAGGAGACGAGAGGGGGGTGAGCGCAGAGAGAGAAGACACTGGAGACCAAGACCGTTCGCTATCATGCATGACTGGACTCGAAGTGAAACCTAGAGAAAAGGTAGGATGGCCGAAGGAATGTAACGAAGGAAGTTTCTCCATCAGCGACCACGGAGTTGGAACACCAGATCCTCCAGAAGACTGATTAGATGGCTGTCCGCTTTCATGTGAAGACGCAGTGGTATTGTCCTCAGACATCCTTCTAGCTATGGGAGACATATCCGGATCGGAGCTGTGCCACGATTGCGATAAGTTAAAATGTCGATCAAATGGCGTTCCTTCAGCATTAAGAGTTGACGGCGACAGGCCGCAGCCAGCTATAGGAGGAACCGTCGGAAGGGGACTCGGCGAAGAGGACAGCTGTTGCTCTATCCAGGATTCGGTGTAAGGTGCAGAATACACACGAGACAGTTGCTGAAAGGCTGGCGAAGCAGCTGACATGCCATACCGGCGTAAAGGAGTAGATGGCATTGACATGGATCGAAAGAAATTTTCGACCGAAGGAAATTGAAAAATATCTTGTCCTGAACTAGGATGGATAGAATCCAAGGTGGAGTGCCGCATCGCGGTGGATACGGGGGGAGCATCGGAGCATAAGGTCATAGCGTATGTGCATTTGTCGCACTGGAATTGGAGTCGTGCTGGACTTGTAGAAGGATCACAAGAGGGCAACTCGAGGCAATCGGAGGAATGAGATCCATGGACTTCGCATAACATTTCTGAAATAAGATTCAAGTCAAATCCAAGTAAGTATGAATATTTGTCAGTGAATTCATTTTCAATGACAAAACCACTGAATAGCGCATTATAATGGTACGCACCGGGCGGACAGGTTACAACAGCTTGGTCTCTGAATCTATAGATGGGAAAGACAAAGCGATATATGAATCTCAGTGGAAGTTAAAACCAAGTCAAAGCACCCTGAGCAATTTAGGCTCTAATACCTATAACGACTCGGAGTTCGCGGAGTCCATAATTCAATACCGGCACACCGGCAAGGTCGCCACCCTAAGCACGCAACTGATACTTGACATGCTTTCCAACAATGATTCTCTTACTTCTTCTGTATAACTGTTTTCTCTTCCTATCACTTCTTCCTTCAGCAAGAAGCTCGGCGTTGACTACTGCCATTGCAGCAAACGAGCGTTTATGTTTCTATGTTGATGCAGACAAAGCAGGGGAAAAAATTGGGGTAAGCACGAATGGTCATGTTTGTCGAGCTAGACTGACGTCCCGCTTGAAGTTTTACTTTGCAGTATGTCATGCGGCATTGTCCCAGCTCATATACTTATTGTCCCACGAACTAGGTTCAATCTGGAGGATCGTTCGACATAGACTTCGACGTTAAGGATCCCAATGAGAAGGTCATACTTGACGGTAAAAGCGAGAGGCAAGGCGACTACGTTTTGACTGCCAACACCGTTGGAGAGTACTCGTTCTGCTTCGAGAATGACATGTCAACTCTCACGGTGAAGCTGGTTGACTTCGACATCATGGTGGAGAGCGAGCCTCGCAGGGAAGCACCTGCCAAGCCAGGACAGGTGGCGGATCACACCAGTGCACTGGAAGAGAGCACATTCCGGTTGAACTCACTGCTTTTGAACATCAAACGTACTCAAAAATAGTACGTTTAACTATTGTCTCGAGTTATCATCATGCATACTGACCTCGTTCTTCAAGTTTCCATACACGAGAGAACAGAGGGTTCTCCTTGGTCAGGTCGACACAAAAGTTTGTGGATATTCTCACGTATATGACTAGGTGAACTCACAAGCAATGTAGTCGCCTGTTCTGGTATATGGTTCTGGAGAGTTTGGGCATTGTGGGCATGGCTGTGTAAGTGCAACCCAAGCGTAATTCGACCACAGCTGACTGTTGTTTAGCCTTCAGGTGTACATCCTTCAAACCTTCTTTACAAAAACAGGTCGTCGGTACAAAGTATAGTTTCGTGTACCGGCATCTGCCTTTATATACCTCTATCATTTTCCGCCGCAATTCCACATTGGCCCTCAAGCAGCATCACATTTTGGTCGCCCTGACCTGGTAAATATGATTGCTATGACCAGTGCGCAGTGTTAACATCTAATGAAATCCCACTGAGCTCTCTGATCCAAAGGGTGTAAGTAAATACGTTCTTATCATCTGCATTGCATCGATGGACGCACGCAGTAATGTATGCGCTTTAGAGCTGGGTGTTAGGACATGGTCGTGTTTTTACCCGTACGCATGGATCCCAAGATCATTATACGCCGCAGCCTGCCACCTACGCCTCTCATGTTTAGGGCAAGCGGAGTCCGCTCGAGGGACTTAGTCACGTTTTATGACAATCAGAGTCACAGAATGCGAAGCTCTGAGTAAGTCATTTAAAGCATGCTGAAAGCTTGTTGGCTTGCTCACTTGTCTCGCAAGTCATCAATCAACATTAACGTGAAATTCCAATCAAAATTGCTTGTACTCACGTGACCGAGTCTCTAACAGAAAGAATCTCCTTGGTTTTAGATTTGAACGGAACTACTTAGGAAATTAGCGGACAAGCTAGCTGCTAGCCGGAGTATATACCCTCGCATTAACTTCCAGTGTCCCAACGTCTCCTTAGCTTTCCTTCATCTATCTCATTTGTACCAGCTTCCGTTCTCACAGACGTCGCACAGGCTGCCCACTCTGCCACTGCCCTGATCGAGGCAGTAAGCCAATCCCCCAGAAGCCCATCAAAGAAGAAGATCCTGAACATTCCATTCCGCTCGATCTCTCTGGAAAGAATATCATTACATGGCCTCACCTTAACATTGTGCCAGGCGCTCGTGTTATTGTACTAACAGCTTGATGCCCCTGGGGCATTCACGCTGCCGTGCAGCTCCCAGGTCCTGTAGTACATCAGACTCCAACGAGTTCGAAGCCAAGGGCGTCAGATGGACCCATGTTGTTGCTGCGAATGACGTCTTTGCAGTAACATCATTGAGCACATATGGGCATGTCCTAGCGCATATACTCAGCCGTCCTATTCGCAGAGCTTGGAAAGAAAAATTTGCTCCACAAGGCACAGGTAGCTAGAAGTTTGATGCATCTCCATCGCATGATCCTTTTTTCATCGCATTATGATGTGGCTCAGTCGTCCGCTTCATTGTGGATGATAAAGGGGATTTTACCTCTAGCGTGGGACTCCTCTTGGATACTTCTGGCCTTTTAAGCACTTGAATCCAAGGTTAATTTTCTTTAGCGCTACGCGATTGTGACTCAAGACGGAAAGGACTTCATCACAGTGGAAGAGCAGTCTGCAAAAATCACTTCCACCGCTGAGAACGTTGTGATCACTCAACTCTAAGCTGTACCATAGAGATGCTGCAGCGAAGTATTTTGAATCACTACATGTATGATATCTCGCAATCACGGTGATTCATTCACCACTTGATAGGTCGGAGACAATCAAGTCCCATTCAAACGGTGTCCCAGAAAAAATTACTGGCAGATCTGATACTCTCATGCCAACCAATACGTGTACACGGTGGACACGAATGACTCGGAGAATCCATTCGTGCCCTTGCGACACCTTGTTCTAAATATTCAATCATGTTACTAGTACTGGTAGCCACTCAACTCTCCACAGACGATGCTTCTGAACCATGTAGTCAACTGCGCCGGTCAGTGCCATGGTAGCTAGTGCTACCGTGACTCACGGGACGATTCTGTGTATAGCTTAAAGTTCAGAATGAAATGTGATATATTTAATCATCTACGCGCTATTTATAGATCAGGCCTGTCGCGAGGCCTGACTGAAGTAAGGCAAATTCGAAAGGTCATAGGACGCAATTGTAACCGTACCGTATGAACAGCGAGATATTATAAGCATCAGTGCTTCAGGTTGGCACTCACAAATGATGCACATGTCATGTAGGTACCAGGAACGACATCACACACGTCGTACTAGGTATGAGCGCTCAGCTCACTCTCCGCCCTGCTCGCTCGCCTCTCGAGATATCACGAGACCTATAGCCAGTCACGTGGTTGTACTATGTGCTGCCTGCAGCAGTGGATCGCAACATAACTTAGACTATCTTTCCTCGTCTATGAAGGGCTGGCTAGGGGAGAGTATCTGCAGTGCATTTGGTCCATATGCTCGGGTTTGTCACGGTGTACCGTCCACCGGGCTGTGCAAGGTGCATGACCCTCAGTACTTGCGAGTCAGCACTGCTCTATTCGAATCGAACCGAGTGTTCCGAGAGTTCTAAGAATTGCTCGCATCCTACCAGGAACTGCCAACGTTCTAGACAAGTCGTGAGCACTGAGCTCATTTGACCCGAAGTTATACTGCCTTAATGATCTACTTAGTACTTACGCAGTCTACGCCAATGAGAATCGCTCGATTATTGCCTACAATCACCTCAGCCGATCAGAGGGGCGGTGAATTTTGCGCAAGGTCACTTGTCAAGACACCTGTGCTAGGCGCTACAACGGCATTGCTCCAAGGCTCCAGCCACAATTGGTCGGTGCATGGGCATCAGTTTTTTCGGAACGTCTCGGTGATCAGGTATCTATCGCGTGGCAATTACCGAGATACTTATGAAACTTCTCGGTAAAATGTTCCTGTTTCCTTTCCTTTCCTTACCAAAGTTCTAATTAGAAGACGCGGGCGTCTCTTGATTAGTACCCTTGAGCGGAGCTGGAGCCCTCTCAGGCTGGTCCCTGGAGCTTGTTATCTCCTAAAAGTCATGGTCTTGCTGCTTCCTCAAGGCCTAGCTATATGTGTTTTCTTTTATGCACTTCTAGGCCTTGCGGAGGATAGCCGAAGCTTCTCCTGGGATCTAACCAATCACGTAAGTCGTGGTTGTTCTTTCTAGTATGTCAGTTTTTTATCACTTCGGTCAGGAATTTGAGCGAGTACGCAGTCTGACCGTCTGCGATGGCCTGCACATCTCACTTTCTTCATCGTCTGGAAATCATTACAATATTGGACGTCCTCCATACACCCTTCTTGCCTTTGAAGCTGGTGGAGCACTGACTGCTACTCAAATTCACGAAGATGGTCTGTGGCAGGTGAAACACCCACCAGGTTCGTGCAACCGGTCCTATGTTGGAATAAATCACAGAGCAGCCTTTCACAGGATCTCAGCTGCTCCTCGCCCTCGTTGACTCCTTTGGAAATTCAGGTGGGGTGCTCCCCACAGTCTTTACGGTTGCATGTAGGCCTTTTCTCCTACAAGTCCACAGAAACACACTGAGATATTTTTGCAGCAGGATCCTCAGACTGTCTTCCCGCACTTCCCATATTTGCAGTTGCTCCAACAATTACAACAACTGTCACCCGTGTCGAGCCTTGCGATTCCTGGCAAATGTCCATCTCAGGCGGAGTCCCACCATACACCATCATGCTCGCATCTCCCGGAGCCCCATCTCTGCAGGATATTGCTGCGCCACAATATTCTAGCCTGGTTTCGTTTATAAATAGTGACATCGCACTAAGAGGACCTACTATAGGTGCGTCGCAGTCCTCGGTGATCTGAGATTGTTGACTGAGGGTAAGCCTGTGTTTTGTTCCTATTTAAGCTGCCGTGCGTGATTCGTGAGTGGCCTTCTCCACCTTCATTGGATGCTGCAAGAAAACCTATATTAATCTTGGCTCTTTTCATAGGTCTGGTGTATTTGGACGTACGACCGAATTTGTAGAAGTCATTGATGCTAGGGGAGTATCCTGTGAGGCTGTGAATCGGGGGAGACAGGCCACCCTTTCCGCACGTTCGAATGGCGGTGTAACGATAAACCATCAAGACACGGCCATCATTGCTGTGTGCGCATCACTTGGTGGGACCGTGATCCTCGCTGTTCTGTGCTATGCTGTGGTAAAGTTCCGACACAGGCAGCGAGGGTTGATTGCAGGTCAAGATGCGCGGCCTCGGCCATTTGAGACCGCTGACCCTGCACCAAGCACTAACATAACTGTGCCGCGGGTGAATGTTTCGGTCCCTTTGTCCGTCATTGACATCTCTTGGCGGAATAATTGGATGGCGTCTCCAACGGAAGCATCCTCCACACATTCGCCCCTCGGTCCAAAGCCCTCCCCTTCGCGCACTCATATACGCCCGTTGCCGGTCCCAGCTGCTTCCCGTCAGCCATCTAATACATCTTTGCGTTCTCCTGAAGATCCCCCTCCACGACCACCACGCAAGCCATCTAGCTCGCACATTGCCCAATCTCCACAAGCTGGGCCCTCGCGAATTTCCCGCCAGCAGCAGTCAATCTCGTCCATGCGCTCCGCTAATAACAGCCACCCTCCCACAAATGCACCGCTGTCCCCGCAGCGCTCCGCACTCACACAAGAAGCCAAACGATCGACTCCCCGCTCTCACACCGAGAGGCACAAACGCACACTCCATCTTTCACGCTCGACAGGGGACATTCCGACTAGTGACAATATAGTACCACCTTCCCATCGACAGAACACAACCGTACCCCGCTCGACATCAGACACACGCCACACGAGCTACCTGCGACATTACTACTCTGCATCAAATGTCACGCGTACAGATCGTGGGGTGCTTGATCCAGTTTACCAGCACCGTGATAAAGGGGATCCACCGCCGCCATACTATAAGCACTGACCGGGACCACTTGACATGTAGCTTATGTATGAGCATAACAATAGAAACACTTTGATTTCATCGTTGGTGATGGGCGTCGTAAGTCCACACGTAAGTAGAGAGTTCCGTGAAGGTAACGTGATAACAAAACTGGCATCACTTTTTGTTTAAATTTTTCATTTTCGCTTTATGCGTTGGTGGTTACCTAACACTTTCGGTGTCTCTTCATTCCATATGTTCTACGATTACTAAATATGCAAAAAGTTTATCACAATTCAACGTCGTGCTCAACTGGTAAAATGCAGAGTACCTAAAAACATATTTCGTATCAATAGAATAAAATATTATTGGATGTTGCAGTTGCGAGAGATGAAATTTTGAAATAGCGGCAATTCGCAACCTTTGTGCAACATAAATCACCCAGATCCCATAGATCCTGCAAAGGTACTTATAGAAATCTAACTGGAGCGCGATGAACACCTTGTAGGGACGTCAGAAAACCACTGCGATAATGGTTACTCTGGTGTTACAGTGGTAATAGAATCAATCACAAGCACAAAAACGCAGGGCAGCACAACCAACTCCTTTTCGGCACACACGGCACCGAATCTAGAACCTTCACCCTACATGGCAGTATGAATGGTTATAACAACGGGAACGATTCCGGTTTTTTCTGCGGACCGGAATGTCCAATTATATCATCAAACTGCTGTAAGGTGGTTGCTGATGGGAATGATTTCCAGTGTGGAAACTGAGTCACTGAGCCTGTCTTTCCTTGCTGTGAGCGTTGATGTTGCTCGCTTAGCAGGTTGGGCGTGAAGGAGCGCTGTGACGTAGCATGGGTGTCAATCTGCATATGGAATGCATTGAAATTCTGTAGCCAATGATGAATCATTATGTCAGTTCGTGCGCTCGACTCGTGCTTGGCGAGCAACCCCCTCACAACTGGTTATCGAAATGTCATGGAAGCGTACCCACTGACCTGCAACTCGCATTCTTGGTGTACATTGTGAATGCATAATTCTGACTCTTGTAATAAAGCGACTCTTGTGCATGGTCCATGGGTCCAGCGTAACTTTCTTCAATTGTTTGCTTTGTTCGCCGACGGTCTAACACTCGTTCATTTGAAAAGGCATGCAATCGTCCATGTTGCACCTGCTGTTGTTGATTTCCTTTCACGTCTCGGAACTGAGGTCACGCTGCGGCTAATGGCTCATGAATCATACAGTCTCCGTCCTATCTATTGGGTATGAGAAGTCTATCGTAAGGGTATAGTAAGAAGCAAAACTGAATACGAGCGGGCACATATCTAAGATAAGTCATATCACAGCACCCATCACCATCTTCATAACACCACCTCATCCGTCGGTTAACCCGGAAGCCCAAGCTTTATCCCACGAGCAAAACGCTTGTGTCAAGTGGGTCTTGTCACGTGTAACCTCGAAGGACAGACCATCCGATTCTATCCTCTTCGTTCCAGGATCCGTCACAGGAAACGGCGGTGTCACCCACGGGAAGGATTCAGGGTCCTGCTTGTAAAGGGCAGCAGACACCGTGAGTCGCTCCACATGCAAGTCTAGTCCCCTTGTGACATATGACTGGAAATCGTAGGGGGGAGGCAGATGCGGGTAGACCACTGAAAAGGTTTCAAGGCTCTTCATATGAGCCCACGGAAGGTCGCGCATCCAAAGAGACAGCGGATTTTTTGGCGAGTCTACGCCACTGCTGATGCCGCGAAAAACGCACGAGTCCTCAGCCAAATCGGTTAGATAAGTGAGATGCTGGATTGATGCAAAGAAAACAGATCCTTTGGAAATGTTCCGGTATACGTTCAGGACATAGCTGATGCTTTGACGTATTATCGTCAAACTTTTGGTTTTCACTGACAAAGTGGATTGTCCGCTGATATTGTGATCGGCGTGGGAAGACCGAGCGTTCTCCGCGCCCTCAAGCTCAAGGACAAGCTTTAAATGGCGGCGGTCAACCACAAGTGTTGGCGCAGCGAGGATCACAGGAAGAAGCACGCTCATGTTGCGCTTGAGCTCAATCTCTTTTAACTGAGATTCGGCCAGCACGCCCATCCACGAGTCCCAGTAGTATGACTGGGCTTGTGCATTGAGGGAATAGTCAAATGCGTCACAAATCCACATCCTCTGTACAGCGGAGGTATAGTCGAAGAAAAGATCGCTTTGCTTCTCAGCGTACGCTTTCTGCATAAGCAGAGCATTTGCGAACTTCTTCACGCTGTGACGTCGGCGGAGCAAGATCGTGTGCAGGAAATGGGGGAGGATGGTACGTCTGACAAGTCGAGAGACGAGACATAGGGATAGGGCGGTCGAGTAAGGATTTTTATTGTTATATTTCTCCCTTTGGGAAAACGTCGGCTCGGCTGCGTCTTGGAAGATGATCAAGAGAATCTCGATAGGAAGATTGCTGAATGGAGATTGAGAGCGGATAGCAGGCTTCATGATGGAAGAGTAAGATACTTAGCTCGGTAGCAAGGGCTCTGCCTTTAATACTTTCCGCGCGTCACACCCACAACAAGAGATGCACATTGTGTCTGGGACCACAAGTTGTGACCACAAGGACAAAAAAATTATGGTGGTCCATAACACAATCATTGTTTCTTCTAGGTCGCACAATGTACTCTTGTCCTGCGAAAATCTCTATTCGTAATTCCCAAAGACCATCATATCAATTATGCGAATGTGGCACGAACCGTAGAATCTACCTTCCGACAGTCGATGACACGCATACGGAATCGTTCAAGTTTCGTCATGGCACAACTCTTATAGTGCATGGCTGGCCACTGGGTCAAGTCGTTCCTGGGAAAGTGAATTGCATCGGTTTGTCATTGGACATAAAGTAGAAAAGTACTTTGCCATGCGTGTGCATAACAGTTCCTTTAGGGTTGACCGGCAACTTGAGCCTAATACTTGCCTAGGCAAGCAGCGTAGCTGGGGAAGTACACTTGTTCTTGGACTGGAATGCTCGGGAGTACCCTATGGTGAGTACTGTCCTCTGGCAATTCATCCGTTTTTTTGATAGGATGTCAGCGACGCACTCTGGAAAGTGGATGGTATCAAACGTGACAGGACTGCGGAAAAACCTTCAAACATCCAGTTTATGTGACAAGGGAGAGGCAACAGCGTAACCTTAGGTTAGCGCTGCAGGGCATTACTAGACTTTGCATGTCTCATAAATTTAGAACATGATGAATTAGACTTCAGAATACACGGATACAAGCTACTGCGTCTGGGCACCGTAACCCCGGATGTTTTCTGCGAATGACCATGCAGTATCGAGTTGCATCGAATCACTGATAGATACGCCTGCGCTAGAGATTGCAGCAATTTGAAACTGAAGGAAAAGTCAGTTAATCAATCAGGTGAACATAATAGTCACTGCGAGGGTGTACCTTATTCAAACTTCGGGCATCTCTGTAGAATAGCACGCGCAGGCTATCCTCTAGGATCTTTCGTGCTTCCTCTTCAGTAATGACGTCCTCCCTCCCTTCGACGGCCTTACGCAACAGTGGTTGGGCAATGAAAGCGCCGTACCCAGTAGCAAGTGTCGAAGCAGAATAGGTCGTACCCAACAGGTCAACGTACGACAAAAACCTTGAATAATAGTTGAATCCTGCTCGAGAACGACGTAGCACATCCTTACCTCTTGCCGTCCTTGAATCCACCAATAAGCAGAGAATTCCAGAGCGGATCCATCTTGGACCGACGCGCATACATGAGCTGCGACATGTATTCATGGATCTCGACAGGACCAAGTTCATGTCCATCCTGCGCAGATATCTCATCGATGGATAGTTCTTCAAGGATATACTGAATGTACTGGAAGTCCGACATATCGCCTCCAGCACCAATCACAGTATAGTTGCCGACTTGGTGCAGACGCTGTACATCCTTAAATCGAGCGAGGGACCCGTATGAAGCTATTGGAGAACACATGAACGGATGAATGGGATGACTTCGAAGTGAAATTACCGAGGTTGTCAGCGGCCATCATGACACCATCCTTGTACTTGATCGCCAGCACACTCGTTCCAGTTACAATTGGTTGTCTACATATCAAGTTGAGTCTCGTTGATGGAAAGGAAGAGCATTAAGTGAACAGACTTACTGTGTTCGCTGTACGCCATCAGCGAAAGAATCCTTTGGACCATTATATGGTCGCTGGTGAATGGGGTAGGTAGCATATGCATCAAAAGCGTCGTTTCTCTGCAAGATCTGAATTAGTGCTGTACTCTAACTCCAGTCCACGATACTTACTGGACGACCCCAGTTAGTTGGAAAGTGGTCCATGGTAGAGTTGGTAGAACAGGTTAATCGACGCGCAAGCCAGACGCGACATCATTATGTCAGCAGTTCTGCAGCCTGAGCGCTAACTGCGTAAGCAACGCGTCTACCCAACATACGAATAGAACGCAACTTAACTCTTGGAGCCAAGTTGGTAGGCTCGTGGTGAATCGACCCAGAGCCCACTGGAATTTAAGTGATGCCACTGGGTGTATGTTTATGATGATATCTTTGCTAGAGCTCAGTCAGGCGCATAGAATCTTTTACTGAGTTCTCATTGCTACTTCCCTGACTGACAAACAATACACTCTTAGGTCCTTGACTCCTTGGGGAATAAAAATAATTATTTCGGCCCAACAAAGTTCATGTGACAAGTTGCTATAGGGTATAGGCGGCATGGAACTCGATAATTTATCTCTTTATGATGAAGATGTGGAGAGCATTTGGCCAGCTGATGAACTTCGAACTCATATTCCGTACCGCTCTCGACATGTTACAAACGCTGCGTTATATGTGTAGGATGTCTTAGTACTATTTGCTGGTGCCAGCAGTTGTGGTCCGGATTACTTAATTGTTTTCAATGATAGACTTATCTGAGCTCAAAGCTTGAATTGTTGGTTCATGTCGCACAAGTGTTAATTGCACGACACCGCCGTCCTGAAGAGCCCATCGTTGTCGGCAGTCGTGCGACAAGGTGCGTCATGATACGCTAGTACTTTTTTGTTTGATATTTCGAAAACCTTCTAATTGCTAGAATTCCGTCTTTTACGTCTCGGCTCTGAGACTCATCACGTACTTATTGAGTAGTACGAATCCTTTGATCAAGCCAGCTATCGTCCATATAGTGCAAAAACTGGCCCTGCCCATCGCCTCACAGTACCTCGATGGGTGCTTTGCACGAAAGTTGAGGCCCACGTCAGGTCCGACTCATCTGGCGCTTAACCACCTCCACGACATTTAACCGATCGGTCAAGCAAGTTACGGACATACGTTTGACATACGTGATTCGGAATCCGCGCTGATCATACCAGTTCTTGTGTTCTATAGGGTTGTGTCACCAACAACCACCGTACCGAACATTATGCAAGCATATAAAAACTTTACCATGATCTGGTGTACACCCCAGTTGAACTTCGTTCGTCTTTGTTACAACCCCATATCACGACCCACCCACACTCCTTTATCATGTTCAACAAGTCCACTCTTTTGATCATCATCGGTGCTGCCTTCGCAGTTGCTATTCCCACCGGGTCCATCCCCAAGGGTCCTAGTACCCTAGATAACGTCCGCGTTCTCGACAACAGCGTCAGCATCCCCGGCGTCTCTGACGTCAAAACACCATCCACAAACTACGTTGGCATGTCTGATGTAGACACGGAGGTATCCAATCTTTCCCTCCAGCTTCCCCAAGTAGAGAAGGAGAAGGCGCCCACAGTCCCTAAGGACACTAGCAGCGCCCCTGTCCCTCTGGACGAGTCTCTTGCCACAGACGAACTCCCCAAGGTTGATGCATCCACTGTCCAATTACCATCGCTGCCGAGTCAGGGCAACGACAAGTCGGAGAAGACACCTGATGCCTCCACACTCACGCCCCCCAGTGGTTCAGCATCCATTGCCTGGTATGCTCGGACTCTGCCCAACAACACAACACCCCAAAACCCCGATGCATCTCGCATGCAGTCTGCAGTCGGGGAAGTTAGCAAGGTAGTCATGATTAAAGGTAATTTGCCGCGAGAACGTCACATTCCAGGCGTTCACATGCTTTCCTTGCCCTCCACACCCGAGCTCACTCAGTCTTCACCCCCCAAAGAATCGAGTTCGCCTGCAACCAATGCCGCCAAGGCTCAGAAGAGGGCCTCGTCTCCCAACGTCGAGCCATCATCGCTGGCGCGCCGCGCCGAGTCGTGTAACTCTGACTACACCTTGACCTACTGCGAGATGGTCTTGCAGTCGGATGACAGTCGCACTCCGAAGCTCCTCCAGTACCTAAGTGTGGACACCTCTGCCACTGGCCCAGTGGGCTTGTCCTGCTCGGATACACAGACGACTGACCAGTGAGTTTCTCATCTTATCTTCTTTTACGGTCGGTTAATATTGTTCATTAGCGTCTACCCCCTTTGCAGCAAAACGATGACGGAAGTGGCGGATCTGGGGACTGTGGCCCTTGATGCTGTTGAGGCCATTTACAGCACCGTTTCCAGTGTCGTTACCGTTGCCTAAGCTGCACATGTATACTTTGTCCTTTGATTTGAGCTTGAAGTCGACACAAGTGGAACCGTTTTTGGGCGTAGCATAGTGTTTGAATGTTTCTTACGAGTTAGTACATATTGGTTACACTGATCTACTACGTCGATTATCGATTATATACCCATACTTATGTAATGTTTGCTCATACATGTAATTCAAATCTATCATCAGCTTCATTACAACCGGCCCTAAACCAATCGTATATGTAAATTTGGCATCCAGTCTTCAACTTTTTCAACTCATTCCGGACTCGCACTATTGTCCCCCTGCGATGCGACCTTAAAGGTTCTGGTTGCAGGAGTCTACCGCAGGTCCCAGACTATCGAGCAGCTCAGCTGGAGTGCACCTTCGTACGTGGTACGGTCGCGAGACCTTGAGGATGCTTTCCTTACCAGAGCTGCTACACTTACTTTGATACTTGCAATTAGTTCAATTTTGGGCGTGTTACGGAGACCGGTCATCGCTGGTATGTGTAGCGGTATATTACGATTGTATATCAGCGACTATCTTTTTCGTATCGATTCAGGGTTCGATGCAATAATGACATTTAATGACTTTAATGATTGATCACACCAATGTTGTCCACGGATGAATTTATTCCAAGAGAAAGGACAAAATCGAAGGCATGTCTCATACATGTGTATATGCATTAATGATGTACTCGGTATAGCTCGAATCTAATACTAACGGTAGCGCAACATGTCACGAGATGGAAAAGACGGCGAGCAGGGAGCTCGGAGTAGGAGATGTGAAATGACCACCTCTATTCTATTCTGATCATTGACGAAAGACTGCGCCCAAACTTCAAGGTACGTCTATAGACATGGGTTGTAGTAGTCAACAACGCATATCATAGACGTACCTTGGATCCGCCAGGTGAGCTCGAAAAATGTAATGTCAGCACAAAAGCAAGAAGATGAGATGAAAAGAAGAAGATGCGGAGACGTGGGAACGATGACCAGAATACGTGAGCGTGCAGAGTGCGTGCAGTAATGACGGGCGTAGTGGGCGGTGGGTAGCGAAAGACGGAACTACGCGTAAGTGGAAGCGACTGAGGCAGGGTCCTTCGAGCATAGAACCGCCAAGAGTACTTGATCGAGGCGCGGAGCGAACAAATCGATTAGGCGAAAGGACGAAGGGGCACGCGAGCAAGACGAAGACAAGGAACAGACAAGCAGGCAAAAACTTAATCACCTTGCAGCCCAAGCAACTAACCACCCCATCACGAACGACAGTCTCAGGCTCACACCTGCTGCACAACACCCACGGCAAACGCACGCTGTGCCATGCATCAAGCGCACTCCTGCGGCCACCGCACACGTCAACCATTCAGCCAAAAAAGAACTCACCGACCATAGCGAAATAGTGGTCAACCACAATAAAGAGGAGATGAGGCATCTTTATTTACCAGCCGGAATCTAAGGGAATGTCAGCGGGCAATATCCACTTTGAAGGCATACCACATAGCCAGGCTCCTTGTGAGTGAATGATGGAGGCTCGATGACGCTGCGAAAAGCTAATAATTTGGCGGGCGGGTAGTCAATAGAGAATCTAACAGATGCACCGAAAGGTCCAGCGACCGAGTCGGACTGACATATATCCAATGGCAGCCTTGTCGCAATGATGTGAAGGGGAAATGATCATATGGTGAAAAAGGGAAACGGTAACATGGTGGAATAGGGAAGAGAGCGAGATGACGGGAAAGTAGAGAAGACGGAATACTTATACACTCGCGCCCAAGAGGCTGACGCGGATGTCGATGCTTACAACGCGCATCCAAATGACGCAATGGCACCTACCAGCAGTCAGCCGCATTCCGATCCAATCCAGCGGTGAGCAACAGATTTGGTAGTCCCGCGCATAAATCGCACCCCAAATTCGAGCGCAACTTGGTCATGGGGCTTGGGAGGCAGTGACTCTAGCTGACTGCATTTATTGAAAATGTTCAGTCCGTGCTATGGAGCCTTGGAGGTACAGCTCCAGGTCATTCGAATCCATGTCGAGATCGCTGTGACACGTGACAAACTTGATGTTCTGAGCCTGCCGCAGGCCCCGCACAACTCACTTTAAAGGACTTCATGTAGGATGGCTAGGGTTTTTTTTATCTTGATCGAGGCTCGAAGGATTGATGATCTAAATCAAAGATTTAACAGGCGGCTGGTATATTGAGGCCTTGAGGCATGATCTGGCAGGTGCACAAATGCGTTCGATAGAATTGCTAGGTGACGCGGAGCTGGTACTCGATGAGGCAAATTTTAAACTCCGCGCTTTGCCTGTTCCGAGATTGACCAGTCTGACTTTAACTATGATACAGTAAAGATTGGTTACGGGTCTAAGTTCTACTTGTATCACGACTGTTCACCACAAGTACGTGTTATTGAATATTTCAAAGGAGTATCTCCTGCTTATCGGTATTTAGTGATATCTAGTGTCTAGCTCAGCGAGAGTGTAAAACCAACACTGAGGCTAGGCTAGCGCTGAGGCCTCGAAGTGTAACTACAAGATACCTGCGATAAGTATCGTAAGGTTACAAGACGCCGATCAAGAATTTGAACCTTGTGACGCACATGTCAAGAAGACGAGAAGGCAATGCATATGCATAGTGCGCGAGAAGTCAGCACATATGCACATACGGCAATAGCCTTCTGTAGGCGCTCACTTAATTTCTTGATTCCTGTCAGTGCGGTCTCACTATTCCATCTTTGCACTCTTCTGGTGACCTAGGATGCGATCGAGCAGCGACAACCAATATCTGGACAGCCTTCATTTCACATTGTTCGAATACGACCTCGGCGATGGTGGCCAGTCAATACTTGAAGTTTAGTAGGCTCTCGTCTTTCGAATCAAAGGTGCCACACATCCACTTTTGGTTAGGGTTATAGTTTGCCGGTCTCATTATCTTAGTTGAGCTGTTGAGACTCGTGATTCAAGTGTTTATTTATATTAACTGATACGTTTGACCGTCAGTTCGGCCGACATACTAAAAAGGATGCATATCTCCTGATTGCTGGGTGAATTGTCATTCGCCGTCTAGTGCGGGGCAGTGCTACAGCATAGAACGTGATTTTAAAGTGGTCTCATCACAAGCAGGTACTAATAGTGGAGATGGGCGGCCTCCTTCGCTCCAAGCGTTCGTCCGTTCCTACTTTATTTCACCGTGTACATCAGCGTCACATTCGATTCTATTGCTACCTATGTACGCAATGTCGCATGCAGACACGCGGAACAAGTTTCTCGCAGTCTTTGAGGGCATCCGGGAAGAACTGATTGCGCATATGAAGTCCGAGAATATGCCTGAAGATGCCATTGCGTGGTTCAATGAGGTGACTAGTTATATGCTTTCCACTGAATATCGATATTCACGTCTTCGTCGGGACTGCCATCATTAATGTTGCCACATAACGGATCTGGTTACACCACTCGTGACATTCGACTCCTATATTATTATTAGAACTTAATCTACAATGTCCCTGGAGGTAAACTCAATCGTGGCATATCTGTCGTTGACAGCGTCACAATTCTCCTAAACCGCCTTCCAACCGACGATGAATACTTCAAAGCCGCCCTCCTCGGGTGGTGTATCGAACTTGTAAGTTCACCATTCTTCATTTCGAAATATTATTAGTCACCCCTGATAGCTTCAAGCATTCTTCCTCGTTTCCGATGACATCATGGACCGTTCCATTTCGCGCCGTGGCCAGCCGTGCTGGTACCGCGTCTCTGATGTCAAGGGGCTTGGAAAGGTACACAATATTGCTGTCAACGACTCATGCATGCTCGAGGGCGCTATCTACCACATCCTCAAGAACCACTTCAGACGTGAGAGCTATTACGTTGATTTATTGGAGTTGTTCCAGGAGGTGCATACTACACCCTTTCATTGCATCTCACTTACCCTAGTGGCCCAGGTAACTTACAAGACCGAGATGGGTCAGCTCGTTGACCAAATCACTGCCCCTGAGGACAACATCAACATAGACAAATATACCCTCCCAAAACATACCTTCGTTGTGCGGTACAAAACAGCCTACTACTCTTTCTACCTCAGTGTCGCGCTTGCCATGCGCATGTGTGGTGTCCAAGATGCATACGAGCTCGACGGAAAGACTGTCGAGCCATACAAAGAAGCCGACCGGATTCTCATTCCAATGGGCGAGTTCTTCCAGGTTCAAGACGACTACCTCGACTACCACGGCACTGAGGCGCAGATCGGGAAGATTGGTACGGACATCATTGACGGCAAGTGCTCCTGGTGCGTATGCACGGCACTCACGCACGGCACCGACACGCAAAAACAAATCCTGTTTGAGAACTACGGCAAGAAGGGTCCCGAACAGACTATGAGGGAGCAAGCTGTGAAAGATATGTACAATGACGAGGAGGGGTTGAACATTCCCAAGCGCTATGAAGAGTATTCGAAGAATGCAGTGGCGGAGATTAATGCGATGATCGAGCTGCTACCAGAGCCTGGTGCGCAGGACGAGTTGAGGGGTGATAGGTTGAGGCGGGACGTGTTCCGGGCTTTCCTAAGCAAGATTACTGATCGTACGGCGTAAGACTAGATGATTCTCAGAGGTGTAAGAAGAAAGTCCATTTTTAATCAATTGCCAGATAAACAAGAAGTGGGTGTTCTCCAACGACATCACTTTGACAGTTTGACTACTAGTTCAAGTTTCTTATGCACTAATCTTCGACTTTGCGGCTGAAATGATATGGCCTATTACTATAACCCGAATATGATATCGATTCATCATCAGTCCTATCAGTATGGAGCCAATATCATAATTCGGATCCAGACAAGCTTCTTCCAACCGCATGGAGTCACTATAACGTTACCCTGGCGTATTCTTCCGCAGAACGAGGAGCTAAATTCGTACCTTTCTTCTGATCAGTCGTCTCCATGGAGCTCATGCATCATGATCAAGTAGTACAAAATACTCGATCACCAATTGCGTTGAGACGTTGATACTGAGTATTACTGACCACCTGCGATGTCCAACTCAAAGGAAGCAGATCCGCATCCGTCTCGTTGGCGCAGGTTCCTCCAGTACATTGAGGTACCCACTGATCTTGGAGTGCCCAATACATCATGGCTCAACCGCGACCTCATCCCCATGCCCAAGGAGCGCCGGACCTATAAGATATGGTCCTACTTCGTCTACTGGTGCATCGGTGGTCTCAGCATTTCAGGGTATGCTACCGGCAGCACATTACTCGCGTACGGCCTAGATGCGACACAGGCCATCGTGTCTATCGTCATCTGCGGTCTTATCGTTGGAGTGCTTTGTGTCACCTGCGGGTGGATGGGAGAGAGGTGGGGATGCTGTGGTCACGGGATGGGTTCCATTGAAATGCTGACAGCTTAAGTAAAGACACCACATAGGTTTTACTGTGGCGTGCAGGTTCAGCTGGGGCATGCGGCGAGTATGCAGCAATTGACAGCGGCACATTATGTTGATTCCTCTAGCAGAGGCGCCTATTTTCCTGTCATCGTTCGTGCTTTTGTGTGAGTGATGCGCTAAACGTATTGGAGTACACTGCTTGATTTCACAATTCAAGGGGCATCTTGTAAGTTCTGAGTTTCTTTTTCAAGTGCTGAAAGCTGATATGTGCATTTAGCTGGGATGGCCTCCAGGCCTACTGGGGTGGACAAGGTAACTTGTTTTCTACTCTTGTTCTCTGTTATGCTGCTGATGAACTTTCGTGTAGCTGTTGCGGTACGTCTCCAAGTCCTCGTGCATCTTACTTCATTTCACGCATCTGAATAGGTTACAATCGGCGCCATCATTCCTGGTGCGCAACCTTTCTTTTAGATTGTTTAATGCTTATTTTATCTTGTTTTAGGATTTGCCCACATGTGAGCACACGTGCACCCAACTTGTTAAGTTTTCCAGTCACTTACACACAATGATTTAGGAAACAGACGTTAGCAGGAGGAATCTTGCTGACGAAGGACTTCATAGGCATAATGTTCGATACATCCTCTTTCCACGCATCCATTCAATTTGACTGTCGTATGCAGCATCTACTACGTGTTCTTCATCGCAATGATGCGCATCCCTCCTGAGCGACTCCAGAAACCCTTCATCGTCTCGTCTGTCATGTTTAGCGCCACGTAAGCACCGTCACCATTCTAACTTCACGCATGCGCTGCACTTACTCGACAATCCAGCCTGATCGGACTTCTTGCTTGGGCGGTCTCGAACACACATTCTGGCGGTCCCTTGTTTCGGGAGCAAGCGAGTCCCGTTCATGGTGAAACAGGATGGTGAGATCAAGACTTGAGATAAAATCAGATATCTTGTTAAATAATACGATAGGGCCATGTTATTCGGTATCACTGCGATTCTTGGCGCGTGGTGCGAGACTGTCCTTTTGTCGCTTGCACGCTCACCTGATATATGTTATGGCTATGGTGAATAGGGGCGGTGGAACCATCGGTCAGAGCGACTGGACGCGCTATGCTAACCGGCCATGTCTGCCCAACGTCATCACATTCTTGTTTGTCAGACTAACACGTCCATTTAGATGCGCCTACGCTATCTCAGTTAATCGCTGCGTACGTCTACAACCTATATTCGCTATGGTTTACCTGACTGATTACTCCCAGTCCATTTTGCATCATTGTGTGTGCCACGATTGGTATCATCGTCACGTCATGCGCCCAAGAAATTGTAGGGAGTTTGATTTGGGAGCCTTTCCTGCTTCTCGCAACTCTGCAGAATTACTAGTAAGTGGGGAGGGGGAGTTCGTCCGCTGGGCATAGCTTAACTCCTTTCTTCAGTAATGACTCCCCGAAAGGTAAGGACAATCTCACACTAAGTGTGGGTGCTCACTTCTCCATCGGACAGTTCGCGCTGCGATGTATGTAACACGTTAATATGCTCTAGCTTCTTCTCTGACTGCGCTTCAGTTTCTTTGCCGGACTCGGCTGTGTATGTGCCCAGCTCGGCATTAGCATTGTTCTCAACTCTGTGAGCGCCGGAATGGATCTCTCGTACGTCCTTACTCTCGTATCCCAATATCTACCTAACACACGAGCAGGGGTGTCGTACCGTCCGTATTTTATGTTTATTGTGCCCCAAATGCACGAATCAACGAATGTTCTTCCGCAGACGCTATATCAACATCAGGAGGGGTGCTTACCTGCTCGCCTTCCTGGGGCTAGCTTCAAACCCTTGGCAATACCTGTCTAATGCTTCAACTTTCTTGACCTTACTATCTGGCTTCGGAATATTCTGTACGTGTTAAAGAAGTCTGATTCATCACGATAAACTGATCCTCCACAGTCGCTCCCTTTTCTGGGATTCTTCTCGCAGACTACTTCGTAGTAAGGAGATGCATGATCAAGCTCGAGGACTGCTACATCGGAGACAAACGCTCTATTTACTGGTGCGCAAACATTATAAGGCATATTCTTCCTCTCACTTCTGTCAAGGTACCACAATGGCGTCAACTGGCGTGCCCCACTCGCCTGGGTGCTTGGGGTCTTCCCAACCATGCCTGGGTTAATCATGACAACCCGCGACGCGACTGCGTGGAATGTGTGGGTGCGCATTTTCCACATTGCGTTCTTCGTCGGTAGGTTTGCTGCTATGAAACGGTATCTTGAATATTTATTGAAATTCGGTAACTCTGCAGGCCTTTTGATATCATTCGTCGCGTTCTCGGTGATTTGTTGGGTCTCACCCCCGGGAAATGTGGGTATTGGAGTGCTGTATCATGAAGAAAATGGTTTCGAAGTGGAGGGTGAACTGGAGACCGAGGAGAAGGAAGGAGTGACTAGTGTAGGAGTGGCATAGATGGTGGTTTGTTCTGTAAGACTAACTATCCTATCATATTACAAGTCCTCCAGCGCTGGGCATCACAATGTCAAGGGGTCCTACAAGCGACGCAGTAATCTGTTGACGTTAGGATGTCTGAACACGCACATCAGCAAATCCCCAGGTTCCTTTTCGTCCCTTAGATTACTTAAAAATATTACCAAGGCGGCTAAGGAGAATCAGGACTATTAAGGAGTGATTTTGTACTTAATTATATTTATTCTAAGGCACATGGTGGCTGCAAGTCGGCCTAAGGAGAATTAAGGAGGTTATTTGTGTGCCTGAACTTTCTTGAACACACCACTTTCTAGTATTTTGCTTATAACTTACTAGGATCTTAACCAAAAAATGTCATGAGACTATGGATAGACTACCCTTGACAAGGGTTACAACTTTGATTTTCTTCGAAAAAGTTCACATGGTCTACCATCGTCACTTATCAAAATCCTAATGGTAAACTTATATTTTATTCTAAGTCCAATGGGTATGGTATATATATCAATTGCTGCCTACATATGTACAAGTACGGTTGACTATGTGTATCAGGTTAGTTTTCACCAAACAAATATTATTTGTTATGTTACTTTGTTTGCGTATTAGTAAATACTGTGTGGCTGTGTCCATTTCCCCGCACCACTTGTCACGTTGTCGTCCGAGTCGTCGTCATCATCATCCGAGTCGTCGTCGTCGTCCTCAGCTGATGCATCAGCTCTTGGAAAATGATTGAATGTGATTTTACTATGCATGCAAGTTCCCGCTGATTCCTAAAGACACCACAACTAAGTGTATCATTGACATTGCTATGTTCAAGTGTGTATCCTGTGGGAGACGGTGTTTTTGAAGCGAGTCTCTTCACAAATGCAATATCACATAATTCAATGCAGTGTGGTAACTATTCTGTTCTCTTGCTATAATAGCCTATTAGCCCGTCTTCAGCCTATGGTTGTTTCATTGTGAATCATGGTTCGTTGCTTGGGATGTTCTACTGCTTTTCCTCGACTGGACACCCCGACATGTGGGAAATGTTCAAAGCTTACAGCTGCAAGTGCAGCTGATCACGAACAGATTATGGTGCGTTCTCGCTGTATTACTTTGTACCTGTAGCCTATATTCACTGATGTATTCAGCAGCAACCACAGTGTGAACACTGTGGCTGCGTGTATCCTTTCTTGCGCTCGCCGTCATGTGCTGGATGCAGAGACACTGACAATGGTGAGCGAGCTTCATTATTTGCCACTCAATCTAATGTCAACAATAGCCTCAATGGAACCGTCAGGCAGTGGTGGCACTACCGCCGTTAGCGTTGCTCAGACAATTTTACATCGACAGAACGTGTATAGCCACAAGGCAAGTCAGCATCGACTAAACCAGCAACGGCCACAAAACCCTTCATCGTTGAATGCAAGTGATGTAAAGCGAAAGGTTTCAGCTCTCAAGGCCAACGCTCGAGCAGCAAAGATTGATATTGACTTCACTATTCAGCAATATCTCTATGGAAGCTCGAAGCCTTCCAAACTGGCCATTCCGTCATCACGAGTAACTTTCCCTACCTCGGAACTAGCTACTAGTGCTTTTGAACAGCTGGCTTCGAAGGCGAGAGGCCTGTATAATAGTACACCGCCCCTTTTAGGACTCTCCGACGTGGCTCTGGATCTTATGTTTGATTGGTAATGTCATTGCATAGTGGTCGCATTGTGCATACTGAAACTTCCCTGTAATTCAGGCACACAATTAAATTTTGCACGGTACTCAACAACACTACCGTAAATATGATTGAGGAACAAAAGTATCTGGTGTCAGCAACTATGGAAAGTCTCTACGGAAACCTCAAACAGGATCGCATGTTGTCCGAGAAGGATGGAAATGCGAAAACCCCGAAGATCACACTTCGCCTGTTCCTGTATGTCCCCAAGGCTGAAGAGGTAAATAAAATCAGTATCCCGCAGGCAATTGTCTGACACATACAACCCAAGGACAATGATATCCAGGAAGTCCAACAGAACCGACACACGTCAACTCGGAGATCAACAGCACCAAGTTCTCGTCAGAAGCGGAAAAGGTCTCCATCAGGTGAGTAAGGCTGCAATTCACGATGATTCTCTTTCTATATCTGTCCTTGTCTTTTCCCTTCCTCCATTCGCAAACTGTAGAGTTCACGCATTGCATGGCTTTTCTTTTGCTCACTTGTGTTTCTTCGTTGGCTTTTGGTTCTCATTGCCATCCATCCTCTTTTTCATTGTCTGAATTGTGTTGTCATCATCGTTTGTGTGTCGTCATCTTTTCCATCCTCCGAATCACAATCATTTCCTTCCTCTACACTCAATTATACTCATACATTCAAATAGTGTCACCTGAACGTTCACGGCCTGCTAAGCGCTATCAGAGCTCATACCGACCAAGATGTTCTGCTACTGCGCCCACCACTGGTGCACTGGCACCACTTGAGTTCGAATGCTTCAAAATGAAGTGTGTGACTTGCTCCGTGAATGACTTTGGGGAACTGAAGATGGTATACAGTGAGGAAGAAGAAGAGATCATGGTTGCTAAAGGATGGCAAGCTCACATCAAGGCGGGAAAACCATATCAGGGTTACCTTGGTCAAGGATTGACAAAATTTGTCTTTCACGTGAGTTCTACTACTTTTCTTCGAACACTGGGCCTACTGCTGATAGCAGCTTGAAATGCAGGGTCGTTACAACAACACAGACTATGCTGTCCTTCAATGTAAACGCATTCGCTCGAGAGACGTTGACAATGAAAAGGATCTGCTGGGTGAACTGGAAATTCTTCACCTATCTCAGTATTTTTTGGACTCGTTCTACAAATGAGGGGAAGAAGAGAATGTCCGCAATCTTCCCAGTAAGCTTATCATATAGAAATATTGATTGAAGGCTGACAAGTCTATCACACAGAAATGAAGTGGAACATTACTGGGGCATTCATTGGGAAGCTTACTCAAAAACTCGCCAATGCTCCGAACAATGGAGAAGAGGATTTGCGCAGCCTCGTTTTTAGTTGCTTTATGGTGCTCCCACTTCTCCCGACTGGTGCATTGTGCAATGAAATCAAGTTTTCTGGAAATGCAGAAGTAGGAGTCAATAATGACTCGCTCGGAAGTGCCGTAGATGCATATGCTCATCATGTTGCTGTTGATTCGATGTATGAGATGATCATATCCGATATTCAAGGTGAGTCTACGCAATGATTCTATTTTGTTGTTGTTGAGTAGCGCTGCAGGAATTGTCACGCCGGATCGATCTATTGTCTTTTTTGATCCACAGTCTCATACGTGTGTACAATACTTTTATCCATCTGATGTTACGTCTAATTTCTGCATCACAGTGCAAACGGCGACTCAGGCTACTGGGATCATGGAAAACCGGCAATCTCAGAATTTTTGGAGTCGCACAAATGCAACAAATTTTGCAACGCCCTCAGCCTTGACACTGAGGTTCCTCCTCTAAGTCTGTCCAATACCATCCACAAAGGTCCGCTTCGTATCGGTTTTGATTAGTACATACCAATCCTCACCCATTTGCATATGATACAACTCGTTTTACATTTACTCTTAATTTTCACCCCGACTTTCAGACTAATTCTCGACATTCATTCAGGCAGAGCAGTATATATCACAATGACTAACATAAACTACATTAATGGTAACATTGCGGCAAACACCTGCCAGACGTTCTCAAAAGTTAAGACAGTGAATCCAAGATCATTGAAGATTGATTGTGCAGCAACACTATACTCAGAGCCAACGAAACGTACGAGATCCTCTCCGCCAATCTCCTCCATAAGATTCTTGACAACGTCACGATCCACTGGTTGCAGGCAATTCTCAGCGCCATAGTCTTCATGCAGTGACATTGCAATGTTCGGGGAGACACCAGACGGTAGTATTTTATCACGGTCGTACCGAACAGTATGGGTATTGAGACGATGCTTCAGCTTGTCAAGCTCTTGTTGGATTAACCGTGGCCATAGCCACTGAACGAGATCACTGAGACAGAAGTAAGATTAAATCAAAAACAGCGCTGCCACACATGAACATACTATTGGCGTTGTAGAAACAACAATACTGAGAGGAACAAACAATGCTCCTGACTGTATCTATAATGTTGTGGTCTTTGCACTGCCTAGTCTGCTATACTTGCCTGACAAGTGCGTTCGACCCAGGGGTCTGCGGTCTGGGAATAGTCTTGGGGGTAAGTGAGTGATGTGGGGTCAATAGTCCGAGCGCGGGAAACAATGTCCGAAGGTATAATTACGATGTCCGATGCAAAAGCGTCGGGTCCGATGTTTTCGGGGTTTCGGGTTATCGGGTTCGGGTTCGGGGTGTCGGAAACTAATAGTAACGCTATCGCGAGCGTCGGAAGAGCGAGCGGTGTGCGCAATAATAACAATGACTGATACGGATAATGAAAGAGCGATGATATTCGCAATATCAACTAAGAACTACGAAATATCGGGTTTGACCACTAAGCGTCGGGGAACTGCTCCCCTCTACTTGGATAATGAATAATGCTCGAGGTCAGTCCAATATATATGTAAGTACATAGAAATGCGGAACCTGTAGGCGAAAGTAGCGGCGGAGTATTTCGGATCCGAAGTACATGTAAATAAACATGAGGCACTGCGGACTATGGGAAAACATGTAATAGCGCTGGCTACGATGTGAGTAATGTGCGAAATAATGAACTACACATCTAGTGGGGCTAGCAAGACAGGATGGGACACGGATAGGACAAGTGCGCGGGAAAAACGTCGGGTCCGATGCGGCCTAAACGTCGGGTTGGCGGGTTAGCGTCGGATAACATTGGGAAGTGATTAGCATGTGACGGGTATTTGACGTGTACTGTAAAATAGCTCGATACGAGCCCAGCGCCAGCTCGTGTCCTACAGCGTGGATCCATATCGTTATAAATTTCTTCACCTGCTTCCCAAAAGATCTTCACATTGTCTCCCCATTGGACTCGCACGCGAAGCCAGCCACGCTCAATCGTGATGTTGTGAACACTCTTCAAAAAGCGGTGAGCAGGCAACTCATCAGTGGGTAGATTCGGAGAAAAGATTTCCCTGTAAAAAGTATACTTAGTCCACAACGTGATAATAATTAGTAGCACCATGACTGACCTTAATGCATTGGCAAAACCGTACACTTCAGTTGTCTCGCTTCCACAGTCAGTTGTCATTTGAAGTGGCATTCCTAGATAAACAATGAATCACGCTACTGGCATACATGAGCATCACATACCACCAATCTCGTAGACAAGAGATAAGTAGAGGTAGGCGATCGTCGTCTTAAGACGATTGTTCGGAACTACCCACATTCCCAACCATTTTCCAGACCACTGATCACGGATGGCCCATATGGGAAACCCTATCTTGCTCAATTTGTTGTGCCCATCACCGCTCCATTGATGATGTGGTCCAAGCGAAACCAGCGGCTGTCGAGAGGTCTTCTTCCTTGAAGGTTCCCGCTGGGCAAATCCATCAGGCTCGTGTCGCCTCATTTCATTCATCACATATTCCCTTTCTTAAAATTAGCTTGCACGAACCTATGTAATGCAATGATGATGTTACCTTGTCAGCAGATTTCCCGTGTCGGCCACTATGGCTTCCCGGACTAAGCGTGGCCCACGACGGTGAAGGGGATCTTGCGCAAGTTGGTCGAGTACCAACTGCCGCTTAGTTGAATTGGGCAGTGAGTGTGTCGACTGGTTGCTTCCTAGAAGTCCAAACTGTTGCCGATGTCGAGAAACAGTTGCTTCGCTATTAGAGAGATGTAAGCAGGCACATTTAGAGAGCGTGCTGGGTCAGACTTGCCTCATAGTTATGCCATGCTCAGCCTTGAGAAGGCGGCTGATCTTTTTCCGATTTGTGATGTTGTCGTGGTGGTACTGGGCAAGGATGTTCTGGATGAATTGATCATTTTTTGGAGCTGTAATGATATACTGATCAGTGTAACGGCGGAATATTGATGCTGTATTGCTCACGACATTCTCCATGTTGATTTCTGCCCTCTGGGTTTGGGACACGAGTGGATGGAGGCTGCGACTCGTCAAATGAACCATGGTCCAAAGCATCTGCATCATAAGGGTCCGAGTCCATGAACAGATCAGAGGATAGGATGTCGGGGAGGGATGGCTAATAGCGCATGAGAACGAGATAAACTGACATAGAAAAACTTTATACCTGCGTGTTTCCGAAATCATCCGCTCGCACTGGCGTGGCAGCACATATGTAACAAGCCACTAGTAAGCGCAACGGGTGAGGGCAAAGACGTAGTTGGTGACATAAAATAGACACACTTACTACCTTGGAAGTTGACCGGACCAAAAACCACACTCTCGATAGCGGACAATAAGGTAATAGCTGCGTGACAGTGAGCCTGATGATGGTGACGACAAGCTCGGAGATGAGCACGCTGAGGACGACGACAACGACAACGTGACAAGTGGTGCGGGGAAATGGACACAGCCACACAGTATTTACTAATACGCAAACAAAGTAACATAACAAATAATATTTGTTTGGTGAAAACTAACCTGATACACATAGTCAACCGTATACAAGGCAATGTAGCCTAACGGTAAAGCTGCTTGACAGTTTGAGAATTGATCATGTGATCTTGGCTGGGTCAGCATGGATGGTTGAGAGTTCAAACCAGCTCTGTGGTAAAAAATAAAGTGCACTTTTTGACATCACTTTGACTGCCTTAATTTCCTTATTCTAAGGAAATTTCCCCAGTTTAAGGCGAGGGACCTCCTTATTCTCCTTAGAAAAAACAGCCTTAATATTCCTTATTATGTGAATTAAGGCATATAAGGACAAATAAGGAGCAAATAAGGAACTCGAGGAATTGCTGATGCATTGGTATTCAAAGATTGTCCTTAATGTGACTTTTTTGACTTATTGTGTAAAATAAGGAGAATTAATCGAGTTTAATATTGTTTATACCACATCAGTAAACTACAAATTTCTCCATAGACTCATCAACACTTTTGACAGCTTCCCACAGTAACTCACAGACACTACAGGGCCCGCAATATTTAAGACAGGTCTGAATGTCGTGTGAAATGTCAAGGCAATACTTAGTATTTAGCTTGTCGTGTAAGCAGATATAAAATTTCAAATGTTAGAGATTTTGCATGGCAAGAAAAATATAAAGCATTAGCGAACATTTTGTTGCCGGCTGAATGTCATTGACAATAAGAAATATAAATATATCTTTAATGCTGGCCTATACTTTGAAATGAAACTTCACATTTAAGACTTCAAAAAACTTTAACCATTACATGTGACCAAATGCCTGCTCATAATATGAAGTTTGGACCACCACTTAGACGGGCGTGAAAATTTAAAATACCTCTTCACAATAAAACATGTACATAAAACATCAAGTTTTAGCTCCAGATAAAATTAATCGCCTAACAATCGCCCACTTACAAGTACACAAGTAGATTTTCTGTCCATTTGAAGAAAACTTGTATTATTATTTTTGCATCAGATTGAGTCCTTTGGGGTTGCAGACCCCATATTGGACATGTTTTGTCATATGCTTTCCCCCATATCTGTTAAGACCATGCACAAAGGGTAGGACTGATTCCAAGGGGCTTGGCTTCAGCTCGTGCGCTGCGCCCCTTACCCGAGTATGTGCCCTTAACTTCAGAATGAAGTCTGGAGAAAGTCCAGTGAAGTCCGAAGGACTTCCGGAGAAGCATGGGAAACTTCGGAAGGACTTTCCGGACGAGTGCGGGAAACTTCCGGATGAGTGTGGGAAACTTCTGGAGGAACTTCTGGAAATTACGATGGAGTTTTGTCCTGATGGGGATATGTGTAATGGCTACTCAGGACAAGTCCTGAGTAGAAGCAAACAGAGGAAAGGCTGCAAGGACAAAGTCTGAAGCAGAATAGGTCCGGAGGACCGTGGGAAAGTTCCGGAGGAACTTCCGGAAACTTGGAGGATCGGAGGAATGGTGGATCGGGGGAATGGTGGATTGGAGGATTGGAGGGTCGGAGGAGTGGAGGAGCGGAGGAGTGGAGCTCCGGCCTAGGGAATTCCTCCCTAGGCCTGAGATGGATAATTACTAAGTCGGAGGAATAGAACTGTCACGAGGACTTAGTGTGAAGACTAGTGCGAGGACTAATATGTGTAATATTCAGACTGAGGAAGTACAAAGATTCTACAGAGTTTATATACTACAGAGGACTTAACGGAGAGTCAGTCAGTGCAGTCCGAAGCTATGCAAGGCTGTGGACAGAGGATGTAGAAAAGTCAAACACTAGTCTATTGGAAAATAGTAAATGAAGATGGAGATGAAGACATAGGAAAATAAAGCCGGAAATGAAACGAGGTACGGAAAATGAGGAAGTCTAACTCAAGAAGGAACATACAAAGGGATAAGGCACGGAAGATAGACGCGGGTTGGATCTGGATGTCCGGATGTCCGGATGAATGCGTGAGAGGTCCGGGTCCGGAACGTGGGATATGACAAAAGGCAAAAGGCATGGAAGATAGACGCGGGTTGGATCCGGATGTTCGGAAGTCTGGAGACAGGTGATTACCATAAGGGGATGGGCACTGATTTAAGGTTTGAGTTTGGACATGACAGATAGGTCGGATCCGGAGATCCGGAGATGTGGATATCAGATCTGGCGTCCAGATATCAGATGCAGGAGTACAGGGATCCGGATGGATAGAGGATTGGGTCTGGAGACATGAACAGGAGGTCCGGAGGTCCAGATGAGGCGTGGGAACATCGTCGGATGTTGGTCCGGAATGCGGGATATGACAATATCCATGTATTCTAATAGTACAGTAAAGTAATGATACAAAATGATCTAATTGTCCATGAATGCTAAGAGGACATCATAGATGCACATTAAATGACAAAAAAGATAGCTTACCACTTGCTTTGGTAGTGAGAAAGTCAGACCATGCCGTGTCAACATTCTTCTTGAACTTCTTTGTTGCTCCATTGAATTTCAGTCCATGTTTCCAATGTGTGTTGTTCACCAGACCATTGTTATCGGATGAATTGTGGCAATGAGAAACACCTTGTCGGATGTTCTCAAGGCATGTCTGGAACCAGCTTTTGCATCGAGCAGACCAGAATCCCACATCCAACCCTGACCCAGCCCAGGCCTGAGGCCTAGGCCACCAAGACAACTTCTCTATGCATCTGTTATCTAATGATTCAAATATGAGTGCACTGCGGTGTAGAAACAACAATACTGAGTGGGGCTATACGAAGATGGCTCCAAACTGATATATTTGTGTTGTGGTCTTTGCACTGCCTAGTCTGCTATACTTGCCTGACAAGTGCGTTCGACCCAGGGGTCTGCGGTCTGGGAATAGTTCTGGGGGTAAGTGAGTGATGTGGGGTCAATAGTCCGAGCGCGGGAAACAATGTCCAAAGGTATAATTACGATGTCCGACGCAAAAGCGTCGGGTCCGATGTTTTCGGGGTTTCGGGATATCGGGTTCGGGTTCGGGATGTTGGAAACTAATAGTAACGCTATAGCGAGCGTCGGAAGAGCGAGCGGTGTGCGCGATAATAACAATGACTGATATGGATAATGAAAGAGCGATGATATTCGCAATATCAACTAAGAACTACGAAATATCGGGTTTGACCACTAAGCGTCGGGGAACTGCTCCCCTCTACTTGGATCATGAATAATGCTCGAGGTCAGTCCAATATATATGTAAGTACGTAGAAATGCGGAACCCGTAGGCGAAAGTAGCGGCGGAGTATTTCGGATCCGAAGTACATGTAAATAAACATGAGGCGCTGCGGACTATGGGAAAACATGTAATAGCGCTGGCTACGACGTGAGTAATGTGCGAAATAATGAACTACACACCTAGTGGGGCTAGCAAGACAGGACGGGACACGGATAGGACAAGTGCGCGGGAAAACATCGGGTCCGATGCGGCCTAAACGTCGGGTTGGCGGGTTAGCGTCGGATAACATCGGGAAGTGATTAGCATGTGACGGGTATTTGACGTGTACTGTGAAATAGCTCGATACGAGCCCAGCGCCAGCTCGTGTCCTACAGCGGGTCAATGTGAATAGGGAAACTTACTTGTGTATACATAATATGTCCCACAAATGAAATTGACCTCCTCTTCTGATAACTTGTCATCAAAGTGAGTCTTGCCATTGATGGTGAGCAATTGTCCAAATGGGACAGCATCCCATGAAATACCAGTCAGGGCCAAGGGGAGATTATTGAAGCCAAGGCTATGTAATGCTAGCCGCCCTAAGATTCCACCGCAAAGCAGAGCAGCTCATGCACGATCTTCATTCATGAACTCATGATAGTACTGCTCATATGTGATATAGTCAGCATAAACGGCCTTGAAGGGGGGCCAGAAGTATCCGAGCGAGAATGTACAAAGTTTGCTGAGCAGGCGCCTAGCCTCAGGAGAAACTGCCATGGGCTGCAGTGTCTTGAACACAATGCCTTTTTGCAGGAGCTTGAGGGCAATGGTCGAGATGTCGGACCCCCAGTCATGACAGAGGCACATCACAGCTGTAGCAGTGTCAGGAACCACGAGTTTCCACAGGGCAAGACTTCTTGATTGACTTGGCTGGATTACATAGAGTCGCTCCTGGCCGGGGATGTCGAGATAACAAACTCAAATGAACACATTTGACATTGATAAAGGAGTGCCAGGTGCCAGGTCCCAGTGATTGGCCGGGATCTCAGACAACTGCAATGTGGGGAGGGTGACAAGATAACCCATGAAGCATGTAATGACATGCTTTTGCACGTCTGAAATCGAGTTGACATCCTTGCCTGAATCCCCGACAATGTTGCAAACATGGTTGAACTTCTGCTTCTTGACCCAACTTTCAAAAGTGGCAGATCCAGCATTAGATCTGGTGGTTCCACCATTAGATCTGACAACTCCACCATTGGTGCTGGTGCTGTCATTCTGCACACCACTGGAGGTTCCACCACTGGGTCTGGAGGCTCCACCAATGGATCTGGTGCTTGATGCTGTCAGATGGAAGCCAAGGTGAAATCGTAAGTGGGTTATGAAGTGTTCAATACCTTCAGTGTAATCAGACAAGGCTGCAACCTCATGACGTCCGAAGTAGGTGCAAATATCTTGCAAGAAGCTGGATAACGAGGGAGGTGCAGGGGGAGGTAGCAGCACAGGATTAGGGATGGGGTCCGGGAAATTGAACTGGTCTTCTTCCCAGTTGCTGTTGGGGGTGCTGGTGGGATCCAGCTGGTCACACAAGTCCCACTCATTTCTGAATGACTCGTACAGCCTGGTAGAGTTGCTGTAGTTCTCCCAAGTTCCTGCTACCTCAGCCTTCATGAGGTGGATGCATAGTAAAAAGCCCTCAAACTCATCTTGAGGTTGCCATTTGAATACCGTGGCTGTACTGGACTTTCCAGGAAGACTGTGATTCTTCACTGCCTGTTCATGACTCTCACATGATTACCGTTGAGCAGGGGATTATTTTTTCTTCCTTCTTCCAATTTTCCTTGTGGTGTAGCACTCAGGCTCGCGCTGAGCACGTATTCAGCTAATTCCCAATGCATGTCAAACACTCAAATCACTTCCCAATGTTATCTGACACTTATCCGCTCAATCCGATGTTTATCCACTAAACCCGATGCTAATCCGACAGACCTGACATTTCCCGCGCATCGGACCCGATATTTTCCCGTGCACTTGTCCTCCCTATGTCCTGTCCTGTCGTATCTATCCCCACTAGGTGCGCAGTTATCAGTTTTCACACCGCTAACACTGTAGACCGCTGTCATATCCCACATTTCGGACCTGGACCTATCACGCATTCATCTCCGGACATCTGGACATCCGGATCCGACCCGCGTCTATCTTCCGTGCCTTATCCCTTTGTATGCTCCTTCTTGAGTTAGACTTCCTCATTTTCCGTACCTCATTTCATTTCTGGCTTTATTTTCCTGTCTTCATCTCCGTCTTCATTTACTATTTTCCGATAGACTAGTGTTTGACTTTTCTATATGCTCCATCCACAGCCTCGCATAGCTTCGGACTGCGCTGACTGATTCTGTTAAGAACGTGCTCAAGGGTCGGATCCGAAGGGCTTGGCTTCAGCTCGTGTGCTGCGCCCCTTACCCGAGTACGTGCCCCTAACTTCCGAGGGTTGTCGAACGATGTCCGAAGGTTACCGGACGATGTCCGGAGGGTGTTGGGCGATGTCCGAAGTCCGATGTCCGATGCGCGGGAATTCCGGCGGACGTTCGGAAACAAGAGATAAGACTAATCCGGACGAGGTCCGAACTAGAAAGGAAACAACGGAGGACTACCAGAGGTAGAGGCGGAGGTGACAAGTCTATAGGAGTCGATCCTAAGACGAGCGGAGGTCGACGAGAGAGAAACTCAAGTCAGACGGAGGAGAGAATGAGCAGAGTCTAAGATGATATTCGAACTGAGGAAACTACAGAGACTGTACAGGGTTTATATACTACTGAGGACATAACGGAGAACAGTAAGTGCAGTGCGAGGCTATGTAAAGCTATGGATAAAACATATGGGACGACTATCACTAGTCTATCGGAACTTAGTAAAATGAAGACGGAAATGAATAAGGGACGGAAAATAAAGTGTACTAACTGATAAGGGAAATACCAAAGGGATAAGGCACAGAGGTTAGACACGGTGTAGGGATTCATTTCTGGCTGGGCTTGTAGAGACTGTTTTTACCTTACCTTATGTTGGCACTTTTGTAGCTTACATAAGAAAGTTATCTTTTCACCAGTTACCAGTAGGAGTCAGAGTACTAAGTAGTTTTTCATGATATTTCCTCTCCTCTGAGCCTTGAGCCTGGTCCAGAAACCCTTTAGGGTCGAATAGCAGCTAGGTTCTGCAAGACCCAACATTGTTCAGACTCACTCTCTGAATTGTTGTACCTTCAACGGGTCGGATCCGGACGATACATAGAAATCGGCTGGATCCGGAAATCCGGAAATGATGAGTGTGATAGGTCCGGATCCGGAACGCGGGATATGACAGATTCTCCATTAAGTCCTCTGTAGTATATAAACTCTGTAGAATCTTTGTACTTCCTTAGTTCGAATATTATCTTAGACTCTGCTCATTCCCTCCTCCGTCCGACTTGAGTTCTCCTCTCGTCGTCCTCCGCTAGTCTTAGGATTGACTCCTATAGACTTGTCACCTCCGCCTCTACCTCTGGTAGTCCTCCGCTGTTTCCTTTCTAGTTTGGACTTCATCCGGATTAGTCTTATCACTCGTTCCTGAACGTCCGCCGGAATTCCCACGCATCGGACATCAGACTCCGGACATTGTCCGACAACCTTTGGACATCGTCCATTAGCCTTCGGAAGTTAGGGGCACGTACTCGGGTAAGGGGTGCAGTGCATGAGCTGAAGCCAAGCCCTTCGGATCCGACCCTTGAGCATGTTCTTAACAACCGCATTATTACATGTCTGCAGTACCACATGTCTTATTACATAGGACATCGGATCTGAAAATTACTACTTTCGCCTATAGCGCTCCGAAATTCTACATAGACACTATATATTTTACATGCCTCCTACTTACTTATTTACCTTTCTACCTCCAAGTAGGAGGAGGTCATTAGATATTTATAGTTCTTGGTTGAATTCCACAAATATCATCCTTTCATTATCTGAAACACTCCGAAAACACTGACAGTAACCTGCCATTCACTATCCCCAACATTCTTTACATTTCCAACGCTAATCCGACGTAACCCGACGAAACCTGCTAACCTGAAACCCGAAAACATCGGACCCGACATTTTTACCTTTGGACTCGTAATTATACCTTTGGACTTTGTTTCCCACGCTCGGACTTTTGATCACTTGACATTCCACTACTTACAGACTAATACCAGATAGCGAACCCCTCGGGTCAAACACACTTGTCATGCAAGTATAGCAGACTAGGCTGTGTCAGACCACAACATTATTATATTGCTGATTACTTACTTCATATAGTGTTCAGCAATTGTTGTCTCATTACAGCGATCTCAGTGCAACTTTCTTAGTGAGCTTCACATCTGAGTGAGACCTTAGGTACCCATATTGAGAAGGAGTGTGTGGAAGCACAGTGCCCCATGGAATTAGGAGTTCAGCTCCCAAAAGCTCCTGGCACCAGAGCAACTTCTGCTCTAGTTCATGCCATTTTTCTCTAATGTTGCGATGGAGGATGTGCTTCCCCTGGCTATCGACCTCTGTGTAAAGGGAAAACATCGAGTGGTTCAGAGGAGACTATCAGAATATATTTGTGAAGTGATTGGTGTGTGACATGCATTTGACATATATTGTAAGATAGCTGAATACGAGTCCAGTGCTAGGCTGAGTCCTACATTGTCTTAGTCAAGGAGTTGATGCACCAGAATCTAAATCTGTCTGTGTGGGTTCAAAATATGTTGCTCTTGGACTGTGCAGGTTTGAAACCTACTGATGATAAAATTCATTTTCTATGATTTACACACCTTGAAATATGCTCATGGTTGGTTGGCTGGCAAGCTGATCACAGTTGTGTTTAGACAAGTGGCTGTCATCACAGAATCAAAATCTGTTTCCATTGGAGTGTAATGAGTTTGAAACTTGTTGGATGTAACATTTTTCCCATAAGAATGTAAGGATCATATGTCCTCTACACCCCAACCATAACTTCAAAAGGAAATTGTAGAACCAATGTTTGCAAACCTCCACATGACTCATTGATGTGAAGAAGCATCACGCTTTACATCCAAGTCACACGGATACATTCCTCTTCTTTTCACTCTTTCATCATTGTTTTGAATTGCACAAACCGCTATACTCGCTACCTAGACAAAACCCTTGCTATAACTGACCCTCAGACCCTGTCCTTTGGTCACGGACTGCTCCATTCTCACTTCGCCATACCAAAACCTGTCAAAACTGCTATGAAACTCTCGTTATTTTGTCCAAACTGAACTCTTTCTTACTGCCATTAATTCACTCTCTCATACTTTCTCCTTTTTGCTCACACTAGCCACCTGTCAGGCTCAATGCCACTCCCTTCTGCATCTGTCACATCCTAATTGTTTTGGTCAAACTAACTGAGGACCCTTGCCATCGTGCACTTATATACAGCTCATGTACTTTTGTATTAGCAGCGAATCATATACCCAGACCCCCGCTCCAAGAATGCCAGAAGGTCTCAAACATATCAGTCTCAAAATGTCTCATCCACATCATAACATTTGCGCTCATTTTTTATCTAAAAACTCATTCTTGTTCACTTTCCCCTTTGAACTCAAACATCAGCCTCACAAGAATGTGTCGTGAATATTTGCTCACAGACAGCATCTCAGACATTGAAGTTCATAAAATGACCACTTGGCTAAACACAGCTCTGATGAGCTTATAAGAAAACCGATCATGAGCATATGTCAAGATGTGGTTTCATAAAAAAAAATGAAAATTTATCATTGGCAGGTTTCAAACCTGCACAGTCCAAGAGAAACAGATTTTGACTCTGATAATCACTAGCAATTTCATCTTTAGCAGGTTTTGAACCCATACAGACAGATTTGAAACAGATTTGGATTCTGTTGTAGCAACTGTTTGACTAACACCAGTTAGATGCACAGTTAAAGAAAACATTTAAAAGTGAATCTGCAAGGCAAGTGTACTGTTCCCTGTCACTCACAATGTTTTCCCTCAGCTGAACAGATGAATTGAATACAGACTGCAATACAACATTTTCAAAAAGCGAGAGAAGAGCAACATGATGATGAAAGGTCTCAAATACAGTACACTTCAACCATATACATAAGTGAATGGTGGCCAGATGGCTCTTTTGAATCTTTGCCTTGAATCCCAGCCTTGACAGATGTGTATTCTTCCTCATTCCCCAGGTCATTAGGATCAAGCTTAAAAGTTTGATGTGTAATCTGCTCTTCTTCTTCAACTAAGTCAAGACATTTGAAGAAATCTGTCTGTGTTTATGATTGGCCCGAGGACTGTGTTCAGATGCATATTCAGTTTTGGTCAGCACTATAATCACACTGCTGACATCACTTTCTTGACTCTATACAACCCTGAAGCATGATTTCAGGCATTTATGCTTAGGATGTGGAGCCATGTCAGATGCAGCCCAGAGATGTTCCTGGACACAGAAAAGTGCATCCACAAACACCATATATAAAGCAGATGTTTGGGAGCGTGAGCTATGGCATGAAAGTACACACGAGTCAATGTCAAGGTGTGTTCTAACAGGAAGAAGAAAAACACATATATCATTCATGAAGAAATGTCGAGGTGTGAATTCATAAAATAAAAATGTTATTATTGGCAGGTTTCAAACCTGTACAATCCAAGAAAAACAGATTTTTTTTGACTCTGACAATCACTTATTAATTTCAGCTTTAGCAGGCTTTGAACCCACACAGACAGATTTGGATTCTGTTGTATCAACTGCTTGGCTAAGACCAGTTAGATGCACTCCTAATGAATCCATTCAGAAGTGAATCCTCAATGTGTGTTTATCTGCATTTTGTCAGTTCTAACAATAATTTCTAACATCCCCCTTAAGTCCAATCATATGTGATCCTCCATGCTATTGAAAGAACTGCCTTTAGGATTCACTTGTGAACGGGTCCATTGGAAGTTCATCTCACTGGTCTTAGCCAAGCAGTTGATTCGACAGAATATAAATCTCTCTGTATGGGTTCAAAACCTGCCAAAGATCAAATTGTCAAGTGATCACCAGAGTCAAAATCTGTTTCTCTTGAAATGTGTGGGTTTGAAACTTGCCAATCATGAAATTTATTTTCTATGAAAACACATCTTGACATTGTCTCATGAATGATTTTCTCAAAAACTAATCTCAACTGATGTTGGCCATGTTGTTGCTAAAATAGATTCAAAATCTATTTCCATTGAAGTCTACAGGTTTGAAACCTATTGAGTGGCACATTTTTTGTATTAGAACATGTCTTGGATATCTGCTCATAGACAGCATTTCTTTTGATTTATAGGTTTTCCCGACGAACCTGCACTTTGGACATGACATATCCGCACTTTGGACCGGATGGACCCGCAGTTTTTCCTGCGCTTCGCACATCATGCCCAATGCTTTTGGCATGCCATTCAGGACAGAACAATCAGCTCCAAGATTCACCGGCGACACTTGTGGAGGTTTCACATATTTGCAAACCATAGACCAACTCAGACAAAAGCTCAATTTATTGGACATTCAGCTCATTCAGTATGCTATTAAGTATAACCGGTCCACAGATACATTACTATGGGCAGGATGCCCCGAAGTCAAAGGAACATCTTGGTTAGACTTTGCTAACGAAATTTTGTGGTGCTATCCAGAACAAGGCATAGATAAGTGTGTCCGACCTGACCCTCCGAAGTCCGAAATATCCGGACCTGATGAATCCGAAGATTATGAAGTTTGGATGCTTCAGTCAGAAAGTCACGAAGACACGCCCGTACAAGAACTCATCACTCCCGAAGTAGAAGTATCTACATCTGAAGATTTTAATGCAACATCTGACACCCCAGAGGAAGTCCGAGTCTCTGAAATTTCGGACTTGACCTTCGGACAAGTTCAGCTACCATTGGAATAATGGGATTCATTTGTTGAAGTCATTAATACGGAGATACTAACACCAGAAGTCATAGGTTCAGAGCTAACACCTCTAGGAGACGATGGACCCGAAATACCTGAAATGTTGGCCGATGATTTCCCCAAAATTTCGGACATTGACATTGGAGCTTTAGATCACGAACTCGTTTTACCTTCTTCATGTAGCACTGACCATCTTGTCCATGCAGCAGCTTTCATCTTATTACTCACTGGTTATATCACTTGGTCTAGGTATCATTTTAAATTGTCGCACCTGAAGATCTGCACATTAATACCTGAAATACCCGAAACACATTCCCTCATCAATCTGAAGATATACCCTGTTCACCTGCAGTTTCCCATCATAGTTTCATCCTCCCATCACCCATCACATCGGACCCAAAATGTCCGAAATTATACCTCGCATTCATCAGACTCATCCGTTGCTACACTCATCGCAAAATATCAAAACAATCACGCATCCCCACCATTCTACCCGATTTTCCCACGCATCGGCCGATGATTTCGGACATTCGGATTGCACTTCATTGCATCAGAGTCATAGATGTCCATTCCCTGGCATATCATGTTTAGACCTCCTATCCTTCTCTTGCTTTCACTCGAGTAGTACACTGACTGGGGACAGTCAGGATTCAAAGTTCATATGTGATGGAGAGACTGACATCTCTGTGGCCTCATAGAGGTCTAATTTCCGATGCCAGTATCAATGCTAATCATTACCCGAATCATCCCCTATCATATCTGACTCAATACACACCAAATTCGAAAACATTGCACATCGGACTTTGCACATCAGACTTCACACTTTGCACTTCGGACATTGGACATTGGACATTGGACATTGGACATTGGACATCGAACTATTGGACTTCGCGTGTATGTCATATCCCGCATTCTGGACCAACATCCGACGACGTTCCCACGCCTCATCCGGACCTCCGGACCTCCTGTCCATGTCTCCAGACCCAATCCTCTATCCGTCTGGATCCCTGTACTCCTGCATCTGATATCCGGACGCCAAATCTGATATCCACATCTCCGGATCTGACCTATCTGTCATGTCCGAACTCAAACCTTAAATCAGCACCCATCCCCTTATGGTTGTTAAGAACGTGCTCAAGGGTCAGATCCGAAGGGCTTGGCTTCAGCTCGTGCGCTGCGCCCCTTACCCGAGTATGTGCCCCTAACTTCCGAAGGCTGTCGAACGATGTCCGAAGGTTACCAGACGATGTCCGGAGTCTGATGTCCGATGCGCGGGAATTCCGGTGGACGTTCGGGAACAAGAGATAAGACTAATCCGGACGAAGTCCAAACTAGAAAGGAAACAGCGGAGGACTACCAAAGGTAGAGGCGGAGGTGACGAGTCTATAGGAGTCAATCCTAAGACTAGCGGAGGACGACGAGAGGAGAACTCAAGTCGGACGGAGGAGAGAATGAGCAGAGTCTAAGATGATATTCGAACTAAGGATGTACATAGATTCTACAGGGTTTATATACTACTGAGGACTTATCGGAGAACAGAGATGCACAGTCCGAAGCTATACAAAGCTGTGGACGGAGCGTATAGAAAAGTCAAACACTAGTCTATCGGAAAATAGTAAATGAACCCGGAGATTAGAACAGATGAAAATAAAGGCGGAAATGAAATGAGGTACGGAAAATGATATAGTCTAACTGGAGTAGGAACGTACAAAGGGATAAGGCACAGAAGTTAGACGCGGGTCGGATCCGGACATAGATAGATGTCGGCCGGATCCGGACTTCCGGAAATGATGTGTGTGATAGGTCCGGGTCTTCTTCATCTCCATCTTCATTTACTATTTTCCAATAGACTAGTGTTTGACTTTTCTACATCCTCCGTCCACAGCCTTGCATAGCTTCGGACTGCACTGACTGACTCTCCGTTAAGTCCTCTGTAGTATATAAACTCTGTAGAATCTTTGTACTTCCTCAGTCTGAATATTACACATATTAGTCCTCGTGACAGTTCTATTCCTCTGACTTAGTAATTATCCATCTCAGGCCTAGGGAGGAATTCCCTAGGCCGGAGCTCCGCTCCTCCGCTCCTCCGCTCCTCCGCTCCTCCGCTCCTCCACTCCTCCACTCCTCCACTCCTCTGACCCTCTGATCCTCTGATCCACCATTCCTCCGATCCTCCAAGTTTCCGGAAGTTCCTCCGGAACTTTCCCACGGTCCTCCGGACCTATTCTGCTTCAGACTTTGTCCTTGCAGCCTTTCCTCTGTTTGCTTCTACTCAGGACTTGTCCTGAGTAGCCATTACACATATCCCCATCAGGACAAAACTCCATCGTAATTTCCAGAAGTTCCTCCAGAAGTTTCCCACACTCATCCGGAAGTTTCCCGCACTCGTCCGGAAAGTCCTTCCGAAGTTTCCCATGCTTCTCCGGAAGTCCTTCGGACTTCACTGGACTTTCTCCGGACTTCATTCTGAAGTTAAGGGCACATACTCAGGTAAGGGGCGCAGCGCACAAGCTGAAGCCAAGCCCCTTGGAATCAGTCCTACCCTTTGTGCACGGTCTTAACAGTGTACTTGTCCTACCTATGTCCTGTCTCATTGTGCTAGCCCAACTAGGTGCACAGTTACTTGTTTTCACATCACTAACATTGTAGACTACATTATTACATGTCCGCAGCACCTCATGTCTTATTACATAGGACATCGGACCCGAAAATATTGCGCTACTACTTCCACCTATAGGGTTCTGGATTTCTACGTATCTACATAAATATTGGGCTCCCCATAGCATCATCATCATCCAAGTAGAGGAGAGCCGTTCTCTGATGCTTAGGGGTCAAACCCGATATTTCATAGTTCTTAGCCAACATTGTGAATATCATTGTTCCTTCACCGCCCAAATCAGTCATTGTTATTATTGCGCATACCACTCGCTTTCCCGACGCTCGCTATTGTGTCACTATTAGTTTCCGATAACCCAAACCCAAACCCAATAACCCGAAACCCCGAAAACATCGGACCCAACACTTTTACATCGGACATCGTAATTATACCTTTGGACATTGTTTCTCGCACTCAGACTATTGACCCCACATCACTCACTGACCCCAAAAACTATTCCCAGACCGCAGACCCCTGGGTCAAACACACTTGTCTCACCAAGTATAGCAGACTAGGCAGTGCAAGACCACAACATAAAGATATCAGTGTGGAGCCATCTTTGTATAGCCTGTTACAAGTAACATTGGTCATGTGGCCCCCCTATCATTTTCCCTTCGTCCTTGCCCTTACCATCTACCGGCTCACACTCCTTTACCACATATCTGTTGACCGGATCCTCGGGACCATTCTCGCCCCTCGTCTCCACCTCCTCCTCGACCTTATCTCTGATAAAGCACCAACGTGTGCACGTGCCTTGGCACTATGACTCATCGTGACTCATGCCACCAATGTGGCTTTCCTTTCCTGTTCCCTCTGACTCGCACCTGCTGTGCATTGTATCACTACCATTGGTTCGGTCCAACATTCCTTGGTCTCATTCTGCATTCGACCTCCCATCACTAATTAGGCTGTGTTTCCAGTGTACCTATACCCTTTCCGTTTCCCCTCTACCCTTACCTACAGTATGGTAACCCAGCCCTCAACCCTTTCCACTTAGTATAAGTAGTCGGTCATCCTGTACTAGATTCCTTAACTTGAATCTACTCAATCTTCTGTCGAAACTACTTCCTTCAAGAGCCTCTCAGCTCTTGTCTCTAGTACGACTTTCTTAGGTGCTCATTGCACCTAAGTCTACCTCAATCAACGGTCATCGTTCGGACAACATAGACCTTGCTTTGACTTCAGTGACTTCAAGGACATCTGTCTTAGAAGTCACGTGACACACGCATCTGCGATCACTGCCGACTCATCATCGCCAGTCTCCCTCGCTACACCGGATCCTTCCGGTTACATCACGAACATTAGCAGACAACGCCCCTCTTAGGGCTCCACATAACAGACCTATTTGAGTGCGTAACATAGCCCCACTCTGTGTTGTATTCCTACAATGGTGTTATTACATGTTTTCCCATAGTCCGCAGCATGTTACGACACTAGGTCGCGTGCGGACTTGGATGGGATCTACAACAGCAAGGCCGAGAAGACGGCGTTCAGGTGCTGAGGTTTGTCGGCTTCCACAGAAGAGCAGAAGTTGCGTACGCCTTGTGGGGCGATGATAGCGATTACAGACGGAAGGTTCGTGGTCGTAAGACAAGCTTCCGAAGGTACGAGCCGGATGTCAAGCAAGGTAGCTTTATGCAAGACAAGAGGTTTCAAGGGAAAACCAAGTAAGATTAAAGTAAGGAACATCTACTTTAATCGTCGACCTTATATAAGGCTACTCTATCGTGTCTAAGCTCAGCTTGAAGCTGGGTTCTAATCTGCTTATCTATCGAGTCAGAGATAGCGTCCATGAGGCAGGCTTCTATCAGTACACGAGGCAACACGAGGCTTGCCTTCTATCTTGATAACAGGAATAGGTCTTCTAGACCTATGTCGTCATAGCGGTCCAGACCGCTTATCTAATCCGGCATCTTCCGGAGTTCTCTTCTATATCGGTCCGGTGTTCTATCCTGTGTTCTATCCCAAGGGCAGGAGAGGCCCGGGTATCGTCTGTAGCCGTGCAGGTGGCAGAGGGCAGGGTGGCAAGGGGACTGTGTAGTTCACTGTAACACAGCACCTCTTATCTTATTAAAACTCAACTAAGACTGATGAAGATCAGTGTCTAAGAGAGTGACTATGATTCAATATTCAAGGCATGTACTAATAGAAAAAATGCAGCATTCAATGTGTTTCAGACTGTCAAGGTGCATTTTCATAAAATAAAAAATGTTATCATTGGCAGGTTTTAAACCTGTGCAGTCCAAGAGAAACAGATTTTGAACCCACACAGACAGATTTGGATTCTGTTGTATCAACTGCTTGGCTAAGACCAGTTAGATTCACTTCCAATGAACCCATTC